GGAACGTTGTTATCAGCGCCAATACATCGGTTGCGATGCTGCTATCACCGTTTGTCGTAGCTATCGTTGTTAATCGTCACTATCGTTGTCAGTCGTTGTTAGTCGCCACTATAGTGGTCATTTGTTGTTAGTCGTCACTATAGTGGTCAGTCGTTGTTAGTCGTCACTATCGTTGTCAGTCGTTGTTAGTCGTCACTAACGTCATTAGTCACAGCTATCGACGTCTGTACGTCAATATCGTTGTCGATACGTCACTGTCATGCTCTATAAATCTGTGAATCGACGATTCGCCGCGCCATATCGCAGCGTCGACAAGTGAACTTTTGAGCTCATTGGCATTAAGTCAATTTTTATAAACCATAGATTTAATTAATAATTTCAAAATTTGTCTTCCGAATCAGTAATAAATTTATGAAACAACACATAGTCAATGAAATTAATATGGAAAATCGAAGATGGTCACAGTGATGTGAAAAACAAACAAAAAGAAAAACAGCAAAAATGCACAAAGATCAAGTGTTTTTTAACATGAACAGTTCAAGGTTTATCAGGACTGACAAGCTTATCCAGGAACTTGAGTAATGATGTGCCATGGGTTATTAAAGGATGCAGCTCCTGGAGTCCTGATTGCTGTCGCTTATCAGCAAATGACGGATCGCCGTGATGGGGTTCCGCTACATAACAGCTCTCCACTCATAAAAGTGAATGGGTCAATTGTCCAAATAATGACAATTTTTCTTGCACACAGCACGAGCAATGAGTGGACGTAGCACTGATGAGTTCTTTCTTTTGCTGGGAAAAACTTAGTCTGGATGACCCATGCAGGGACAAAATGTCCATCAGTATTTGCACAAATTCTCACTCATTACTTTGAGTGTGCATTTGATGGTCCTTTATGCTATCTGCGTGCCGTCATTAATTGATCAGATTTAGATTTGCTATTCACGTACAATTTATTCGGATTTATGAAAGACGCTTGAGTTTAGAGATGATGTTTCAAACATTAAATAAGGTCTTCAGAACAACTTGAAATGTTTGCACTGGCGACGTTATTTTTTCAGCGTTGTTATTATTGATGAGAATATCGTTCAAATTCTCTTAAACGAGGATCATATAAAAATGTGATAGTGTAAATATGAAAAAATTAATCTATTATATAAAATAAAACATAAATTCCTTGCACGAATGACATGACAAAGAATTAAATTCTTTTAGTTTGCTACATAAAAACATATTTTGTCACACTTTAGCAAATTCCTTGTCGCGTGAATAAAAAATAAACATGAATTCGTATCACTGAAAAATTAGAGATGATCGTAATTATTGATGATATCAAATACATATAGGAAACAGCCTAAGGGCCAGGAGAGGGGTAAGGGGTTTGTGTAATGGGGAGGGGGGAGCGAGGGGGAAGGACGGGGTAGGACATCAATTTATTCACCCCGCGGGTGAGGTTCCCACGCAATTATCATCTGTCCCTAAGCAGATCCCAGTGACTTCTTAACCCTTAACAGACCACGGGAACAAACTTATCCCTATGGTATTCTTACCGGTATATACTGTATAAAGATAACCAATTGAAGCCTAATTTTAGCCTTTGGCCTCAGTGCTTCCTTACGGGCAGGTTTGGAAACAAAGGAAGTATTTACAGCAGCCGTAAGCAGTCGGGTGGTGGTCTCTTTTTTTGTAGACCCATAGGAAAATTTACTGGATAATTTGCATTAAAAAGTATCGAATGCTCATATCAATCGGTCAGATACATGGAACATAGTGAATAATGATGTTTAATATCAGATACGCAATAACATCCGAGATGATGAAGTCACATTATGCATGCGAAATGATTAAATGTCTTGATTCACAAACTTTTGGTTTATTATTAATGCTGGAATGGCTATTATAATATATTATTATTATTATATATTATTATTATTATTATCGTAATATATTATTATTATTATATTATTATTATCATTATTATTGAGTTAATTGTTATTTATCTCGACTTGTTCCTTAAAATAATGTAAACTTCACATATTGTCCGTGTTTAACTACATAATTACACTTAAGGCGTACAGTCTGACTTACAAGCCACGTTATTGAGAGCTGCCTGCCGTCATAAATTCCACTTTCCTTCATTTGAATCAATCGCTTCTCATCGGATTAGCTTGGTAGCGCATATTTTTTTGGTTTATAGTATGAACTAATCTAGAAAAGTTTGAATATCGATAGTTTAAAATTCTAATTATCCCCAAACAGAATATCACTTTTGAGATAATGATCTTATCCTGCTTAAACTTGGTAGGCAGTACAGTTCACCCAACATGACCGGGACCTATACTTTCAAAAAAGTTAAGATATCGTAAGTTCATCAGCCAATCACTGAGTGCCATTCAAGCAAAATCCACCAATCGTAGACAAGAAAATAGTCCATAAGTATTTACGTTCACTTAGCGAGTTTTGAAAGTATGGCCCCAGGATTCTAACAGGACTAAGGCCATGACCTCTTCGTTAACTCGACGCCTCCTTAAAATTTTCACAGATAAATTTTTGCTGCCGCGCCGATGGTTGTCACAAGCTCAAGAATTTTCTCCGCTTATTGCTATAAAAAAAGAAAGTTTTAAGTATTTCGAGTTGTGAGTTATTGGTGATGGAAGCCATAGACTTCATGGGTAGACTTCATGTTCTCTTCCTGAATCAGTAATTATATATTTTATTTGCTAGTGAAGATCCGCGTATGAAATTCGTTACATAACATATCAAAACATAGTAATGTCGGCGCTGAGGAATAGGCCTGATGTGGCCTGTCTGTTGCCGATTCTTGTACTTTTCGTGACTTGCCCACAGGAGATCTACTAAATTTTTGCCTTTGCCTTTTTGCCTTTGCCTAAAGTATTTTGCCTTTTTTGCCTTGACAAGTGAAATACTTTACACTTGTCAGCATTAAACGCAACTGCCGCGTATCAACCCAGTTAACTATACTGTCAAGATCATCTTTCAATCGTATGTTATTTGACGCATTCTTCACTGTATTATAAACTTTTGTATCGTCGGCATACATGGAGCACACGCTTGACACCACTTCTGGTAGATCGTTTATGAAAAAATGCACTAATAACGTGCATGTTGAACGCGGAAAATTAACTTTGCAAAAAAATTAAAACATGTACTGTAATCTTTGCTAGACATTTCTCATTGCAAATGTCAACATCCTACACCCAAAAAATGTCAACATCCTACACCCAAAAAATGTCAACATCCTACACCCAAAAAACGTCAACATCCTCCACCCAAAAAATGTCAACATCCTCCACCCAAAAAATGTCAACATCCTCCACCCAAAAAATGTCAACATCCTACACCCAAATCCAAGAAATACTGTAAAAGTTACTTCGCATGAACAAGAGGAGTAACTAAGACAAGAACGGAAAAAAATGACTGCTGCTGTCAGAATATTCTTTTCATTGAGTTTTGTTTTCACACCAGACTCAAAATTTTAACTAACTATGCATGTAATTAAAACAGTAACTTTCAATTTCCTAGGGAAATTGCTGTTTACATTCATTTGCAGCAAGGCACGGTTTCGAGCTGCGCATCATGTGAATGGGGTTGTTCACTTGTTAAAAATGCTACTTAGAATCAGCTTAATGTGCTATGCTCTCATTAAATTTCAGTTATAGCCTTATTTTGCAACGAGTACACCATTTTCGAACGGTACTGTACGAAATTTGCAGAAGACTGCAACCTAAATTGAAGACCAAGGTGTCCAAATGAATACATTAACTGCAATAAATCTAAAAAGCCTGCCAATCGAGGGAAGCTCTAAATAATTGTAAATGTAACAATTACCTTTCCTTTAATCAAGCCGCGTTGGCTTGCTACGGCGTTACCGACACCGAGGCGGTGGCACATAGCACACGTAAACCACTAATTCCCATCCAATATATTTGAAAACTTTTTTATAGCCGCATACATACAAATTACCTGCTCCAGTGTAGTCATTGTTACAACATCAGTGCGTCGTACTGAGAACGCAATTCAAATTTTAACCATCGCTTACCTTCGTATATAATTATTTGTTATTTTCGTAGTTACTTCACGTTATTTTGAGGAGAGTTGTGCAAGTTTTTTAGCTAGTATAAAATACATAATTTGCATTATTACTGTAATTATCATTATTAACATGAGGTCGCATAAATAAAATATTCTCGTTATCTTCAGGTTAGTATTAAATATAGTCACGTAACTTGATGAACAACATCCAATATTGTCTGACCTTTGTTAATAATTCTTATTAAAAAAATATTCATCACATTTGCTGTTTATGCTTACGGTTACGCAGCAATACGTGCGATTCGTCTTTTGATATGACAAAAAATTATGTATATCCTCATTGTAGGCAACAAGCTTTGATCAAAATTTGTTGCACACAATTTAACGGATCCACCAATTTCCGCTTTAAATAATAGTTCCATCAGCTCAGTCTCCGCTTGAATCAAGTGACCATCCTGCAGTTGTATAGTGGCTATGTTCTGCAAAATCTTTGTTGTAGCGTCATGCGGTTTCAGCGTGACAAACTGCCACTGCTGTTAGGTCATCAATCGCAGCAGTTTCGGCAATTTGTAGAAAGCTTTACTGTTTATTTCTCCTAGGCAAAGCCACCGTGAAACTTGGAGTATCAAAGCATTGATAAATTCTGGCTGGAAGTGATTTCTCTGCAATCTGGTGTCATCAAAAACAATCTACTTCAATCGCAGTACAGAGCTCATACTCAGTCGGTTCACAATATTGTTCCATGAATAGAAATTTCTAGAAATTTAAAGCGCTAATATTCAGCAACTATTTTTTAAATAATTGTCGGAAGTCACTATAGATAGATCATTATTACTGAAATAGAAGCATTAAAATTTGTAAAACTATTAAAATGAATTATATCAAATCAGGAAGCAAGCATTATCTTAATTACAATACGATTTTGACTGTCATGCAAATGGACTTACCCGCGGAGGCTGCGTCGAACAAAGTCGCCATCGTTGCAGTTGTCATTCAGACGAAAATCTTGCTCCTGAGATCGAATTACGTCACTTGAACACGAACCATTAACATCGTTACGTGCATCTTCCTTACGTTCATCATTGACAGTGTTTTTACCCGCACAACTACCGGGTGCGCTGTACAAAGAACCGGTAATTTCATGATACCCGCTATCATTGCCGTTTGTTGCTTCTGTCTGAAACGCCCGATTGTTAATCCGGCGAATTGAACCGGAATTTCTTGCAGTGGAATAAATTTCTGACCCTGAATCACTGTTAGCTTGGGAGGAGAAATCCACAGGAGTATTTTGGCTACCTACATTCGATAATTCTTCAGTTTTTGTTGAAAGAGAAGCGTCGGTGGCGACTGAACAGTTCGAGTGGGGAATATTTCGAACATTCCCGTTAGAATGTTCCTCATTTTTCAGAGACCCGTTTTTGTTAGAGAACTGAACAGAAGGGCCGTTTTTAAGAGATCCGTTATTATTTTGAGATGAGTTAATTATGTTTTCGTCTTCCACGTCTGTTTGACATCCTTCTTCCCTTTGTTTGGCCTGTTGAAGTTTAAACTGCTTGCTGTTCTTGCGCTTGGGAAGCGGACTGTTTGTTGCGCTATTGCTTGGCTGCTTGTCTTGTTTGTGCTTGCTGGTTTTCATCCACTTGAACATTTTGCCCTTCGAGTTCCTGGAACATAAAAAACAATCTTATTTCAAACGAATTCGCAGCATGGTAATGATTTGTGATCGCAAATGACACTCATGATAATAATTTTAGATTTTGGTCCGATTATCCGATTATTGAACAGCGAATGTAAAGATCAAAACAGAAAAATAATCGATCAGTGCAAGACATTTTGTGAATTTATTTTGTCCTTGGCACAATATTTCTTGTTGAAAATAAAATAAAATGATCTGAAACACTTTAAATACCACAATAAAAAACTTTATGGCACCACACTGAATTGAAATTAAATCAACATTAAATTTTTGTAAACAAATCATTATAATTCAGCCTTGGTTAAGCTTTTCCAACCGCATCTGTTCATTAATTTACTAATATAATTTACTTATATTCAATTCTAGGATTATAATATTTACAATGCCAATGTCAGAATATTTACTTAGTTTTAGAACACTAGCTAATTTTGGTCTGGCCCAAATTCATGAAACGTAGATATATTTAAATATTATCTTCCTATGCTCCAAACTTTTACACACACTTTATGTTTTATGTTCCTTTGTGTTTTACACACTCGAAGGCAAGACAGGAACTTAATTTAATGTGAGAAGAATCCAGCTAATTTATCCGCCTAATTATATTCTCTGCCTCAGAATATTCAGAAAATGATGCAATAAAACGTTAACTGCTTCAATTATTCAACCGGACTCGAAAAAATGTAGTCTTCGTCGGCATAATAAATCTCTAGCCGAGTGTGTGTGAGAATCGTGAAGCTCCTCAAGGGTGAAATTAATTTTATCATTGTTGAACTCTCGGCCAAAAAATTATTTTAAATTCGAATTAAGTTTCAAATAATTTAAGCTGTCTGTTGTATTGTATTTTTGAATATATTTTGAGTAAATAATACAGTTTGCGGACACGACTTTATTAATTTTCGCCCCGCCAAAATAAGGTAAAAGTCTTAGGCAGATTTTACTTCAAATTCTGCGTGTAAAATTTTCACACTTAGGATAAACGAAATTAGTTTATGAATAAACTAACGATACCCGATGATGAATATCACGTATATCCGTGCAATCATCATAAAATTCATCCTAAATCATTTTCAGAAGTATACGACATTTAATAAATAGGAAAGATAAACATTTAGCTTGTGTAGAGGTATGCAAATTTATTTACATCGGTATAATCAATTTTTCGCGTATAGCATTCAAAGAATTCAAATGAGTATTTATACAAGTGTTCACGAACGGTTCGTAGCGTCGCATCACCTGATGAATTATACAATCGTTCACGCACGGTTTGCAGCGTACGTTGTATTTTATACACGAACGGTTCACGTTCACAAAAGTTTCGTGACGTCGGATTCACCTTAAGATTCATATAATCTTTCACGCACGGTTTGCATCGTTGTATTTTGCACACGAACGGTTCACGTTCACGAAGGGTTCGTAACGTCGTATTCATCTGAAGATTTATACCATCGTTCACAAACGGTTTATAGCGTCGCATTCACATAAGGAAATATATTAAAGTTCACTAATAGTTCGTATATATGGCCTCATTTTATACACGAACGGTTCACGTTCACAAAGGGTTCGTAACGTCGTATTCACCTGAAGATTTATACCATCGTTCACGCACGGTTTGTAGCGTCGCATCACCTGATGATTCATACAATCGTTCACGAACGGTTTGTAGCGTTGTATTTTATACACGAACGGTTCAAGTTCACGAAGGGTTCGTAACGTCGTATTCACCTGAAGATTCATACCATCGTTCACGCACGGTTTGTAGCGTTATATTTTATACACGAACGGTTCAAGTTCACGAAGGGTTCGTGACGTCGGATTCACCTGAAGATTCATACCATCGTTCACGCACGGTTTGTAGCGTTATATTTTATACACGAACGGTTCACGTTCACAAAGGTTTCGTGACGTCGGATTCACCTTAAGATTCATATAATCTTTCACGAACGGTTTGCATCGTTGTATTTTCACGTTCACGAAGGGTTCCTTTACGTCGTATTCATCTGAAGATTTATACCATCGTTCACGAACGGTTTGTAGCGTCGCATTCACATAAGGAAATATATGAAAGTTCACGAATAGTTCGTATATATGGCCTCATTTTATACACGAATGGTTCAAGTTCACGAAGGGTTCGTAACGTCGTATTCACCTGACGTGCCCTTCTTACAGTTCACCTCATTCCCGCTCAGCACCTCATTAGTGGCTGCCACAACACGCATTGCTGTCATGAAGCTCCTACTTAGCAGAGTCACGCTACCTCATTAACTTTATTCAGTACCTCGACGCTGCATTGTATCGATCACCAACAATGGACGAATCAAATGCCAACTGCCATGGGCACCAAATTTCTAGCGTCTATCGTAAATTTAATGATGATTGACAATGTTGTTTTTGTTTAAGGCTAAATATTGTGAGACACGCAACCTCGCTGCCAACTGTTGTAATTAAGGATTCCAATTTATAACTATATTTTTGGAATTTAAATCTGGATATATCTAGAAAATCTATACGAGTATCAGAATTAAAAACACAAATTTAAAAAGAAAATATAGAAGAGAAATCGCCGTCTATCTTTACGGTCAATAGCATTACTTTTGATATATGTCCTAGAAAGTAATCATTAAAAAAATTATTATAGAACTTTTTTAAAATTATTTTGTTTAATAATTACTTTATCAATTTAAAAGAATTATTAAAAATAAACAAAATTTTACAAGAAATATCGATCACCCATCTTGATTATTTCCTAATAAATTTTACGTATTCATGAGCACGTCATATCTGAGCAAATTGCGTTGCAAGTATAGCAGAAAAATTCCCTAGAAATGCTCCTGTACATTTAGATTCAACTTTTAATATTCTGTAACAACTCATTTTCATGAAATGCAAAATAATCATTAACAATTGGCTTCATCAAGAAAACTAATTTCAGTGACCTAGTAGCTACTGCCATTGCCACCCGCGTGCATTCACGAACTTATCGTATAAATTCCCTGTTTTCTGGATAAGGTTCATTTCCTATTGACATCGTAGGTGTCCTGAAGTGCTGGTCGCATGACATCAAGCCATTCTCGGTCATCGCAGTTTCGCTCCGATTTCCAGCCGACACGCAACTCCCGAATAATTCTAGTATTCAATCAAGTATATATTCTCCGTTGTACGAATACACTCAGGTGATTACTTAGTAGATAACTTAATTCAGAATGTTGAAAAATTTTTGAAGGATAGCCCAGAAAATCAGATAGTTAGTAATTTGAATCGTAAACCAATCTCCTTTGCAATTTCAAACAACGCCAGCACACTCTACAAGCTAGGTCATCCACCGACGTATCGAGTACAGTACCGGCCATTGCAATGTTTTTTCGCCATTCGCTACTCGTGTCCAGTTCGCAGTACGCACATATCTTCTCACTATTTGAAAGGTGGAAAGTCTTTAAAATCAAAGATTTTTCTCAACGATGGTATAATAAGGATTCAAGAAAAAAATATCAACCGTTTTGTCAAAACCAAAATACTTGGTTTTGAAAGCTGTGCTTATAATCAGTTTTTCAAATTTAATGAAACACATCCGATTGCTGACATAAATTATTTATGCAATTTAATTAATGAATTAATGCTATTCAAAACCATTCAACCCGATGTTAATTGTTCTATTTATCTTGTAATGACTATTCAATGCCCCAATTTTCAAAAGAGAAACAATAAATTTTTTGTTTACTTTGTAAACGATTTAACCGTCGAAAAATAAAAAAATAGACTCCTTTTTAGGTTATTGAAATTTTATGTTCTGTACTAATAAATATATATTTGTTGACACAGCATTAAAATCTTCGCTTTGATACTTTATTCACGGAATTTATGTCCGTCTGGTTATATGAGAGTAAGAGTATACAGGGGTACAATCATGTTATTTTATTAATCACGTTGTATACAAAAAGCGCTAAGTCATTTTCAATAGGACAACATTTGCAATTAGTTTACATTTCGGGTTTTTATAAAGTCACTTTTTTACCGAAGTTACAGAAGCTAAAGTTTTAAAAGCGAACCAATTATTAACTTATTGTGCTGCGTAAAGGCACATGCAATTGTGCGATGTTTGGTTTTGACGTGAATTAGTAAAGGGAAAAATATGTGAATTGATTGTGTTAATGTTATGTCAGTTTTGATTGGTAAGCTCATTCCTTATTTATTGGTAATTATTTGGCTATTACGTATTTCGTTGTAAAGGTTGTGTTCTAAGTTCTTCGTTCTAAGCTGTCTTTATTCTAATTCCTCTAATAATTCTTCTTCTAATAATACTAAACAGCGCCAACCAAGGAGCCTGTGACTGATTACTAGTTTACTAAACTATGAGTGTTTACTATAGTTGCCTACCGATGAGCTCAGACCCTGAAGTTGTAATTATGTATCATTTTATTATCAAAATTGAGCGCATTGAAATAATTTCGAATGATGCATATTAAATACAACCTTCTGGAACATAAACAATAGGCCTATTCTGTCTGTCCCTCAAAACTCAGACAATGATTTTCCAACTTTGTCATTAAATAAATAACTTTGTCATTAAAGTTGTCACTAAATTCATTCATAAGCATGATAGAATGTCTCATTTGTTACATGTTCACATATGACTGTCCAACTTATGACAAGTTGTCATTAAATATGTTGATAAGCATGATGGAATGTCTCATTTATTACATGATCACATATGACTGCATCAGACACTGCTCGCATCACTGAAAGTTTGCTGGCCGGTGACAAAGTGACAGGAAGTTCCGTCTCGTGACGCGGCGCAGGAGTTTCCGGCGACTGGAGAAGCGCTCTTGTATACGGCAGTTTTGTGTAGAGTTTACTACCTAACTTCTAAGTTGTACACGCGTCTGGAGGATAAGGTAGAGGAAGAAGAAGCCTGTGTGAACAAAGGAAGTATTCTGTGACTTGTTTTCCTGTTCTTGTTAGCAGAGAAGGTCTTTAACCGGAATCAGGAGCGAAAAATATCGTGGGATCGGTTATTTGTCTGTCCCTTCATTACAAGATAATTTCGCACATAAAATGTGGTTAATATAAATGAAACCAATTATAACTAGAATTAAAAAGTCTGAATTACATTCACTATTATTATATTGCTATTTAATTAATAAAACATACTTTGATTACGGCATGCTGAATATTGGAGGTAGGTAACGGCATTCCCTCGACGAATTTAAAATTTGATAATTCTCTTTAAGGATTAGTATTTTAAGTTCTAAAACTTCCAGTTTTCATTTAATACGAAAAAATACTATAACTCTTGAGGCACATTCTCGAAAATAATAACGATATAAAAACTTCCCTCATCCAAAATCACGGGTCTTTCTAACTCATCCACTGAGAGATAGATTTATGAGGTTGAATTCAGCTGACAACTTTTGATTATTGTAAAATTTGTAATTCCATTGACTGCGCAAGGTCTTGCACAAGTCAGGGACAAGGAAAATATTAATAGTGAAAAATAAAAAAATTGAATTTACAGTAGAAAATTTTCGTGAAGACAATGAACGCGCTGATAAGTATTACCCCTATCATACTCTACATGTGAACTTTAGTGTATCATACTTGTAGCCTACTTCAAAATATTGAAAAATTTTTGATGAATAGCCCAGATAGTCAAATAATTAATAGCTTGAATCGTAAACCAATCTTCCTTGAAACTTCAAAACAATTTCTCGTCAAGTTATTACATCGAGTTAAACATTTCGTTTATAATTGTACATATGACTACAGTAAGCCACCGTAATTTTGTGTGTGTTGTTTTTATTCAGATAGAGTATAACACTGAATTTGATCGGACCACAGTAGCGGCATGATAACCATCATTGCAAGCTAAGTTTCAACTATAACTTTCACGTTCAACAACAACAAATACATTCCTACAATTTCCACTTTCTCCGCTGATGAGACAATTCGGTTGATGCTTCGATTCATTGATGGCAATTCACTCAATCACAGTTTCGATTCTATCGCTAATCGTGAAAGCAACCCTCTGACATTATTCCTGTAGATCCAATCACGGCTTCGCTCCACTGACCCGATCACGGGTCCAATCAACGCATCAAATGACTTGCGTGAGAATTTCCAATGCTATTTAAATTATCCTTTCGGAACGATGCCGCTTCTTATTTAGGGCTGAAGACGTGAAGGGCCATTGTTTGAAAGCTAATCAATCAATCGGTAAAGTCTTGCACAGCTGAAGTGCAATCGCTGTCAGCACTCGCTGCGAGTTGTGACTTTTTCATTTGAACCTAGGCAGCCACGTTACACTAGTTGCTCACGTTGCTCATTGAACAATTAAATATCATGTAAATACAATTAAAGTTACATATTGATGAATTTCATTACAATTTGTTGAGTAACCAAATCTCCACTGGTTTAGGATTTAGTATTTATTTACCGTCAAGTTTCGGCATGTTTAAAATGAATACTTCAATGCTGTTACTTCTTCTTATATTTTCTATCCATCGTATGTAAAAAAATCTTTTTTTGTCCTTCTGACATTGCTCTTGTTTTTCTTAATTTAAGCACTTTTTTATCGTTAATGCTGCAGAATTTATACATTTCTTTGTTCGTCACATATTAAATAATCATTCCACAATTTAGAGCTCGAGTTCTTGCGATCAAGTCCCTACACAGGGCGGGCCCTCAGGAGGATGTTCTCACGCCGCTCCTGATCACTTCCAACCAACTCAGAAAAAAAATTTAAAAATAAATGCTTCACGACAGACGAAAAATCAGGCACCAGAATTCAAGGTTGTCCGGAAATGCTTATGTTGTGAGTCAATTTTTTCAAGTAGTTTTGATATTGGCATTTTCTGCATTCATGGCCGAAATTTTTTAATTTGAAATCAAAACGATATAAAACTTCAACCTGTGGACATAGCAATGCTCGAAAATTGCCAAGTTGCGATCATTAGAAGAATCAGATTTGTGGAAAGAGTTTATTCTTAATTAGAGTTTCTTAATTGCTTGAAGAATATGGGATTAGTTGGCTGACTAAATACGTATTCGAGACATTAACATATAAAAACTAAAAGACAATTAGAGTACATAATTATGAAATTAAGCTAGATTAATTTGATGTTAAGACCATTTAAAATAGATAAGTAAGATAGACAAAGGCAAACAGATTAGAATTCATCAAAGTGAAGAGAGATTTGTTTGTTACGTGGAATCAATGATAATTCAAGCAAGCGTGTGAAATAAATGTATGCATAGGAAAAATAATTATGTTTTCTTTATTGAATTACTTTAATGAAAACTTGGAGTATTACATTCAAGCCTAATGGGCGAGGGTGAGGCAGGTGTGGCAGATGGGTAGGCAGGTTAAGTGGAGTTAGGCTTACGTGGACTGAACACCACGACCGGAAATGAACCTAGGGCAAGTTCAGGAGCAGCTGCTACTGCTGGTGCTGGTGTTGGTGCTGGTGATAGTGGTGGTGCTGGTGTTGGTGATGGTGCTGGTGCTGGTGATAGTGGTGGTGCTGGTGGTGGTGGTGATAGTGGTGCTGCTGGTGTTGGTGGTGGTCTTGGTGTTGGTGATAGTGGTGGTGCTGGTAGTGGTGATAGTGGTGCTGCTGGTGTTGGTGGTGGTCTTGGTGCTGGTGTTGGTGCTGGTGTTGATGATGGTTTTGGTGTTGGTTGTGGTGCTGATGTCGATGTTGATGGTAGTGCTGGTAGTGGTGCTGGTGTTGGTGCTCGTGGTGGTGCTCGTGGTGGTGCTAGTGTTGGTGCTGGTGATGGTGTTTAGTTGCTAGTAGTGATAGCTCTAGTGTTAATTAACAATGTGTCCGTACTGGTGCTGGAGTTGGTTAATAATAAAAGGCTGTTATTAGTGGTTTTCATGAATGACATGCGTCTGCTGGTGCTGGTGTTGGTGAATGACGTGCGTCTGCTGCTGCTGGTGTGTTGCATTTTAAGTATTAGTGGTATTGTTATTGGTAACTGTAATGTTTTTGCCTGATTAGAGACAGTTGTATTTTGTTCGACGCACTTTTAATTCAATATTATTTCATCAATTATTGTTAATTACACAGTCATTATCCAGCCTAACGCCTTAGTTTCTTTTATATTTTTTTTCTCTTTGAATGAATCTTTTTCAAAACTCTCTTTCTTGAGAAACTTTTTTCTCGCACGAAAAAAATTATTTGAAAATATAAGAAGGAAATGTTACCAGTAATACAAATTCTGAAGTTAGTTACAATGAAACAATATTTCAACATGAAGGAACTCTAGGGGGAACTGCAACGCTCTACAGATAGTTATCCACTCAGCCAGGACGATCCAACTCTATAATTATAAATTATTCTTCGTTTTACTAATCTCCGCCGACAAATTTTTTATTAGTTTTCAAACAATTAGTGTTCCATAATTTCAGTTTAGATTAATATATTTCATAAGTACATGAAATTATCCCTGTATGAATTCTACTACAAAATTAACGAAAGGCAAAAAGAAATCAGAGTGAAGCGTTACCATTCGATGCACCCTTGAAACTGTATCAATTGCATTAAAAATAAAGGCTTGTTTTTATATATATGTCAACTGAAGGTCTTTTATGTTTACCATAAAATGAACACATAATAGAATCTATCTCAACTCACCTTGATGTTAACGCAGATCCCTCGAAGTATTGTGACGCAGAGAGCGCTAAAAATGATGAGCCGAACATGCACGCTTCTCTTGAAAATATTTCGCTATATTTTCTTTTCCTTCCGTGTCGTATGTATTAATATTTCATTTATTTTTATATATATTATTAATAATGTTTATTGCAAGGGAATGCTATAAAACAGTGCATACCGAACCATTCTGGGAACATTTTTCAGAACCTCATTGATTACATACTCTGAATTCACACTTCAAATTCAAAAATATTCTTGGTCAGATTACCGAGAATAATGCGTAGGGAAAATTTACCGCAAATTTCCCATCTTCGAAATTGGTGTTCAATCACTGGCAGTAAGTACACTCTTGGGCGCCAGCAAATTTGAACGAAATTACTGGAGCTTCCTGTTCAAGTCAAGCCACGACAGAGCTGAGGCACGCACACCACTTCCTCCAGCGAAGTCTCGACCGACACTAAGGTAAGTGTCTTCAGAGTTGAGGTCTTCTAAGGAAGGTGCTTTATCCAACAGGTAATTTAGCTCAAAGCTAAAGATAAATTCGACTACGAACTCACCACAATCACACTTATCTTCTGATCTAGATTTGCTTTGAATCGTTGCAAAGAGTAATTCGACCAAGCTTACTTTTGGAAACATTTATTTCTTTTACAGTTCAAGCATATTGTGTTACAGTTGCTCTACGAACTAAAGTAGAGTTATGAATTATAATTAAAACTTAGCATTAACATTTTTATGATAAGGGCAATCTAGTTAGACGGAAAAATAATGTTTGAATTTTTCATGAAAGATTGCGAAATTTTCACTTTACGAAGTTTATATCGAATGAAAGACGTCTATTATCGAAGTAAAAGAGAAACATTGTAAAGATAAATACTTCATATAATATTCCTAGTATTGAATCAGTAAAATATAACTGAAATCAAGCCTATAACATCTTGCAATGAATAATCATGAAGCCATGCACGATTTTTATAAATAGTTAAATAATAATTTTCTCTGCTAAATATAAAATATACCTTGAAACGTTCTGCTAGGATATTAAATCACACAGAAAGCTTATGAATCTGAATCACATTATGATCAAAAATACTTTTTAACGAAACGTAGAATCACTAGTGCTAAGCCTGGCGGTTTTGACGTAGAACTTGGGTAATATTATTGTTTACAGAACTGAATGGTCGGCTACGAAAAAAATTAGAATTACAGGAAATTTTCGACTGATTGCAAAATCAAGGCCTCAAGTACAAAAATGTGAATTTATTTCAAGAATAACCAAAAATATTCTTCACTTGTTCTTGAAATGCGGAATTCTTATAAAACTATTCTTTTTTCGGTTAATTTTAATTTATACAATAATTGGTCGTCTTGAAAGATATTTGGGGGTTGAAGGATCCGTTGATGACGGAGGATTTCGTTCCTGTTGAATCCTTACACGAACGATTCAACATCAAACTGTAAATAAATCGTTCCAAATGTTACTTTTATTTCAAACAATATATTCACTTTAATAAAGGTTTTATATATAAACGAAGCGTTTCCTTAAAAATTCATCAAACATACGTAAAGTTATAATTTCCTCCAATTTTCGAATGTACCATGCAGCCTACTTTTTGAAATTTTATAGGCAAAAATTTTACACTTCCAACCAAAATTATTTATTTTGACTGGTTTTCTTTAATGTGTAAAATTTAAAGTGTGAATCAATATTCCGTTTTGATTTTAAGTCAAAATTTACTTTAAATTAACAGGACTCACCTCTGACAAGGAAGCTTCACTTGACTCGCTTTCACTGGAAGACTCCAACTTTTTTGAGGAATTTTTTTTCAAGACAATTTTACTCGTTTTGGAAGGTTTTTCTTTCTTGCCATTTTCATTGCTTTTCTTTGCCTTGACTTCATTCTTCTTGGTAACTTTAGTTTCGTCCGGTTTCTTTTTTGGTCTAACCTCCTTATCAGTTCCCTTTTTCATTGCCTTCTTCCCTTCAACTTTTGACGCCTTTACTTTATCTCTGTCGGATTCCGATGACGAATCAACGGCATCAACAAAAGATTTCAATTTATTCCCAAGAGATTTAATCAGTCCACTCTTATCTTTCTTCTTATTTTTCTGAATTTTACTCGATTCCACGGACAATTCCGGCTTGGAATCTGAGATGCTATCCACGGAATCCAGTTTCTGGACTTCAGGTTCCGGCTCCAAAACTATCAGTGGCTCTTCTTTAGAATCTGAGGAGCTCAGGTCACCCGCTTCCTCAGCTTCTTTTTGTGCTGGCGTTGATTTTTGGCTGTCAGAAGACGAGGATTCTTCGTCAGAAAAATCCATCTGCTGGAGGGGCAGGGAAGACATGCTTATTAATCGAATTTAATTGTGAAAATTATGAATGGTTGGAAAAACTGTATGAAAATTTATAGATTGTCAATTGAGAAATAAAGTGTGATATTAATGCGAATAGTTAAATTTAGTCCCTACTTATTATAGATAGCTAATAGCAAAAAATTACTGATACCGTCAGCATAGATATTGAGGGTTAACATGAAAAATGTGTAATGCACTCCATATTAATTGGAAATGATGTTGCATAACAGCATTTTATGAAAAAATTTAAATCCACTGCATAAACATTAATGTTTTCTCATAAAATGCAAAACAATGGCCTGGTGTTACGGTGAACCAAAAGTTGTCAGCACTCATTGCACACAAAAATAACACCTTATTTTAAATTAATTTTGAATTATGCATGCCAAAGTTACACAAAATCCAATCAAATAAATGTAATAGATACGTACATGCTGCTCCATTTTCTTGATGGCTTTGTAATTGTTCTCGTAGTGCTCCATCTGCCTCATGAGCTGCTCCAGCTGTCGCAAGTCCTCCTCCACCTGCTCCACGGAGCCTCCCTCCACGTCTGCACCCAGGCTCTCCACCTGATCCTCGTGCTTGTCAATGAATTCATCCAGCAGGTGCAAGTCCCGGATCATGTCCTGGTCGAGTATCATGAATGTGATGAATGTGATGTGATTTACGTTACGTAAATGAATCATTCACGATAAAAAAGGTCTAAAAAAATTCTACTTGCGTTCAATGACTCATATAAACTTCAAAAATTATTAAACAGTTAGTGTGAAATGCGAATTTAATACGAAATAAACAGTTTCATTGAGATTGTACAAGTGAAACGGATTCAATTGGGTGCATTAGCTATGCATCCACAGCGTAACTTAACCGCGGCCTTTCAGATTGCCGTCTTGGGTGCTTACTCAGCATTTTCTGGATCATCTTATTACAATAGTCATCTCCTTATATTTATTTTTCAATGAACAATAATTAATTATATTGTATGGTTACTACCAACCTTAGACTCGATATTATGACTCAGCATCTTCTTGGTATTTTTCAAGCGGTGCTGGAGCTGCTTCCACTCTTGCTCCAGTTCTTCCAGTTTCATCTCCAGTTCCTCCCGCATGGGGAGATCTGGAGACTGCACCATCGCCCTCCATGTCTGGAGCAGAGTCTCCACCTCCAGGTTCCGGCGCTTTACTTCCTTCTCGATCTCCAGCTGCTCCGTGTTATAAATATCGACGTCTATGGAGTGAGAGGTGGAGTCAGCGTGGTCAGTCTCCAGCCCATCCATCCTCTCCATGATCTCTTTTGTCCACTCCCTGGAGTTTAAATAAAAAATTGAGATAGAAATACTACATCCTCTTCTAATCTAATTTATCCATGCCATGGAGTTTGGGTCAAAGAGATTCATGATGGAAATGAATTAAAATTTTGGCATTTGTTACACCTGTTTAAAGCAATTTTTTGAACAGCGACTTAGTTTTCTTCGTTTCATGATCAATGAAAATTTACTGGAAATTTACAATTTCAAGGATGACCTCTTCCTCTAACCTGAATAAACTTAAGTGAATTATACAACTTAACAGAATTGGCAAAATTGGCTATTATTGCTCAGAAATAAATTTTCTTAAATTATTCGACGTTTATTTTTAAGCAATTTCTCATTCTGTGCCACAATTCAATTTTCCTTATGGACACATACTACATTTGGATAATTTAATATTATTTCGCATTTAAATAATTATTCATTTAATAATAAAGAGACTTACATGATGCTATCCAGCTGCGTCGTAAATTCCTTGGCGGACTTCAAACTTTTAAGTCTATTTACTTCAGCCTTGACCTTCTTCATGAAGACACGCCACTTGCTCGTCAAGTCCTTCAAGTCCTTCAAGTCAGTCAAGTCACTTTCATCGTCACTGAAGTCATAGTCGCTGAAGTCGTCGTCTGAGAACGACTCATCCATACAGCCTGGGAACTCAGACTCCAGCTCTCGACGGGTTGTGTCGAGCCCCTCGACCTGTCACCGAAGTAAACTAATTAGTACCCAATTAGTTGATAATAATTAATAATAGATTAATGATTCTAATGATTAATAAGTTAATAATTTTAATTAATAAATAAATTATTAATATGTTACTAATTTTAGTTAGCAATAAAGTAATTATTGCAATTGATAATAGATCAATAATTCTAATTGATATCAAATTGATAATTATAGTTTATAATATAATGATTAGTATCGACTTATGATATTTGTAATATTATGCTCAGGGATAAAATGACGGTACGGCTTTTAGTACGCAGATCAAAAAAATTAAGTTGTTACATCGAAGAGAGTTGAAATTTCAATACATCCTGACATTGCTGCGAGACCAGCTACCGAGGATTCGATTATGATTATTGATATTATGGTCAAATTAGCTGAAAATATTGCATTAAATATGATGGAAGTATAATTTTTTCGTGAACACGAACAAAATAATTCTCGCAGCATTCAAAAATTCAAAATTCATTCATATTCAAGCATTTATATTCAAAATAATAATTATTATTTTGAATAATAATTCAAAATAATAATTATAATTTTTTCGTTACGAACAAAATTCAGTGATGAGAGAAAACGTTGAATTAGACGCCAATAAATTTCAACGATTAGTGAAAAAGAATGAGACTGATGACATCTTCTCGTCCATCAAATGAAAAAAGATCTTATTTTTATCAGTTAAGAAGTGAATTGTGCACATATTAACCCTTTCATATAATTTTTCGTTATTTTAGCCAATTTATGTTAATCAGTGTTGTACTTTTCAACAACAAAATCATTAACTTAAGCTTCTATTGGGTTTATCAATTAATATCTCAACATAAAACCAAGATAAACAGCATCGCATCTGCCCAAACTTTTATTTCCATTACCTTATATTTGATGACCAAACCATCTTCCTGAAGTTGTTGGTAGAACTTCAACCCCTCTTTGATAGCCTCCAGCTGAGCCTCAACGTCTTCCACGACATCGTCTCTCTTGAGCGCCTTGTTCATCCAAGCCGAGACCTCCCTCGCTCTGGCACGGTATTCCTGAACCTAACACCGTGAAACATATTATATTATACTATTTTATATTATATTATATTATATTACATTATATTATATTGTATTATATTATATTATATTATATTATATTATATTATATTATTTTATATAGCTTATAGCGTATCTTCTATGATGTTTCTATAGCTCTGCCGCCTATATTTTCGATCAGTTAAATGTTGTTTTGGGGAATAATGTTGCAGGAAAATGTTCTTTATGAATGTTTCATCTTCCTCGATTGCTGTTATCTAATGAAAATTCTATAGCTTTTTATTATACAGTAAAATGTTAAATTTGCGTGTCTATGTGGTGAGTATATAAGGTGGTGAATAGCGCGCAAAAAATAACAAACATTTATCCTCGCATGTATATACCTTTACACTTTATCATATAAACGTAGACGACCAAACATGAGAATAGACAAAATATGTTAAATAAAATAAATAAATCTTGAGTGAAATATTTACTTACGTCAAAAGGACAAGAAAATTCAACTCCCATGAATGAAATTACTAATCAATTGTAAAATTTGAATTCACGGTGAAAAATTAAAGATTGAGCTCTTTTGTCTTAAATTTTGTATCAATAGAAAATTTGCATTTTCGATGAACCAAAAGTCTTACCTTTTTCTTCCTGTCTGAGCGAGACTCGTCATTGATGCACTTGTCCTTCAGTCTCTGCAGAGACGTCGTAAGTTCATCTACAATTCCTAGGATCTTGTCTTTCTCTTTGTGCTTCTTTGCCAAATCTTCGCCTAAAAGGTAGATCAAGAATTAAATTTTAGTTTAATCGCAGAGTAGATTTCATACTCATTAGATTCGTAAATATTAAAAAAGATTCAACTAGGAAGGCTTAGAAATTTTTAGCCAGATTATTTCAATGAGCTCAAAAGTCGATAGCGCCGAAAGTTTAGAATGAATTAATGAATTAAACCATTTATTAGTCTCAAAACCGAAAAGAAAATTAACTGTAAAAATGGCAGTCAGTCAAGAAGACATTTAGCAACGAAAAATTGAAAAACGATAAATATTAAACAAATTCAGAACGGATAATCGTAGGTATAGAATTACTAAACGTAGAAATACAGTATTCATTTTACCAAAGAAACGTGTCTTTCCAAACGTCTCAGACCCGTTAATTTATCGTTGTTGCTCTTCGTGTAGTTCACAATGAAATCGAATAAGATATGAAATACCAAAAAGATTTAAGATATGAATAAAATATCTTTCTGATAAATCTCTTACGTGTTTGCAGTCATTCTCTAAGACGTAAACGTGATTATAATTTATCGTTAATTAAAGGATGATAAATTAAGTAGAAACTTTGTTTGCTAACGATAAATACATAGAACTATAAATTGGAAGAAATTTGTCGAGGCAACATTTAAAGAATTGCGTGAATAGTAAATGTGTGAATAGTAAATAGGGTCAGAAAATGAAGACACATGCGTGTATATTCCACGGAAGGCTTGCTTAATTTATCAGTCTTGAATTCCTTGTAAAATTCTTCTTCATTTGTTTAGAAATAAAATAATTTCTATTATAATCGCTTTTGCATTGAGAGAAATTATTTTTCGCAGCTTTCATTTCTATTGGCAAGAAATCTTGAATTTAATTATAATATAATATAATATAGTATAATATAATATAATATAATACAATCTAATATAATATAATATGATAAAATATAATACAATCCAATATAGTATAATATGATATAATATAATATATTGTCATATTACCTTATATATCTACTGCAGTCTCATGGTCATAAGGGCTACAGCTAATCTCATACAGTATCACTATAATTTTGTCATAGCATAATGAATTTTCCTGGAAATTCATAGCGGTGAAAAACTCTTATCATTATCTTTACTAAATTATGAATATCTTATTTTAATTGTATTTGCTACTGTACAAGCAGCACGTTAATTCGACATGATTTCCATTCAAATTCCTGTTAACTGAGGAGGATATATAGTATGCATTTCCCAAAGCCTTGACAATCAATAAAAAACGATGTCATCAGCTATTTGCATGCAAACCTGCAACGATTTTCTGTCTCTACACATGTACAAATATTTAGATTTTTTTCACCTGATATGATCAAAACTCGCATTTTTTAGATTAAATGCACAATGAATTTACCATTTCACAACAGCCTTGTTCTCTCACCTGACTTGACAGCTGCCTTGACAGTTTGCTCGACGCTTGTCAGCCTCGTCTGGATGATCTCAAGCTTCGTCTTGCTCAACAACGAGTCTACTTCGTCAGACTCTTCCAGCTGACTCTTGATCCATGGCAACACCTAGAGGGTCCAGTCGTGGAATGCATTATCATGTTTAAGATTAAAAAACCATCAGCCTATACGCTGAAGGTTTTATCGTATAAACGCTGGGGACATATAGTTCGAAAAATATCATCAGTCATTGTTGTTACTGAATTAAGGCATTGAATGCATTAGCGTATTCAAGTTCAGAAACTTGCAGCATACTCTGTGATGCAAAAGTTAAAGTCGTGTCATTTTTCATTGCTCTTGAGGATCATTTCCACTTATACGATAATGCTAAAACTGAAATAAATACTAACATACCAACTCATGTTTTTACATACAAATAATATAAGCTAACGCTATACACATAGAAGCTAACGCTATCGCCAACGCTATACAGATGATATAAATATTACGCACCAAATTCACCGTAATCATTTCACCATAAAGTTCTCACCTCATCCACCTGATCTATATACTCCATCAAGGACAAGATGGCGTCCAGCTCTTGCTTGCGTTGCTGGACACGCTTCAAGAGCTGGACCCTGCGGTCGCAGAGCTGGGCAACCCGCTGCTTCAGGGCCTCAGCCTCACGTCGCTCCTTCGTCACCTTCCTGACGAGGCTCTGCAGTTCGTCGAGACTTGTCACGTCCACACCAAGCCCGTCCAGGACGTTTAGTTCACTCTTCACTGACGCTGCCGTGGTCTGCAAAGAAGAGATAGTAAGAAATATAGAAGAATATAGAATATGGAAATAATATAGAGTGTGTAGAAGTATAGTATAAAAATATTTACCCGTTCTCATATTTTCTCCTGTCTATTTATTTATCGTTTGCTATTAACCTTGTGTGTAATGTGCCCTCGAAGTTTGGTGAGACAAAAGCCACGATGTCTGCTTCGTAAAATAAGTTTAAAAATAATATAAATAATAGATAGTACGGAAATATTGCAGTAATTGTGTGGAGATCGTTTAATATTTCAAAAAAGATGCTTGTCTTGGAGAGCATTTAAATTTTTCTTTGCGGTGTAAATAATAACAAAAATGAGCGAAAAGTGAAGAACTTATAACGTATAAATAAGCCAAAAACTTTGCACAGGTGCTAAATATTAATAAATCCCTTCAATATTAATATTAATAAATCCGTTCAAACTAAAGAAAGAGAAAGACTAAATTAACCATGGAAGAAACGATAACACTGGTCCACAGATAATTGGTTCTGAGATAATTTTGTGTGAGTCGGAAAAAATTTTTGCTGCTGATTTCCAACGAGACTTTGTTTTTTTCTCTAGTACGTGTAATTTTGTAAATATTCAATTTTTAAATGTATTTTATATTTATATATCTTATATATCAATTAAATAGTGCGCATCGTCGCTTATATATCTAGTTTTAACGGACGCAATTAAACAAATGGATTTTTCTCACATGAGTCTGCTCCTCTTCAAACATCTTGTTCTTAGCCTCCAAGTCCCTGTTGACTTTAGCCTCGAGCCCTCGGAACTTGAGTATCAGCATCTCCTCCTCCAGTTGCTTGCGACGTGCGCTCCAGAGTCTCCCGAGCTGCCGAAATTCAAAAATTAATGTGAGCAATTATATATTTATTATCTATTATTATATTATTTATTATTATATTATATTAATAGATAATAATGTATATTATTGTCTATTTATAGAGCTTACCGTGGCCTTGCCGTCTATAGTTGCCTGAACTTGTTTCTTGGTGACATTCTTAGGCTTCGTGATTGTGAACAACTTCTTTGCGTCGCTCTGCAGCTCCGCGAATTCTTGGTCTCGACTCGACAACACCACCTGGCAAATATTATGTTGCATGTTCAAAAACGAATTACATACCCAAGTTCATTGCTAGTCGTACAGATTTAACGCTTCAAAATTTAAAGCATTAATGGTGTGTGCTTTAACGCCCACACCAAAATATATTTTCTAAGGTATAGTAATATTACTATGAGATAAAAATGTACATATAAGAAAATATAAAATTAAAACCAATTTTTTAGTATTCCACAACAATATAATGAATAAGCATTGCTCATAAAATTAAATATGAGCAATAATAATGTGGTTGCATTATGGGTTGTAGGATCAAATGCAAAATTTGATTGATGCTGTTGGCCGTGGTATAAAACACTGAGCTTGGAATAACAGCGTAATGATAAAATGGAGCTACCATGGCTTGGCCATGGTAGCTTCATTTTTATTTATTTTTTTATATTATTCACTTCGTACTCGCTCAATTATAGAGATAACCAATGAGTCATGATGAAATTTTGTTATGAATGACAAAAAAGCATGAAGTTTAAATAATGAGCTTTTATTGAGTCATCAAAACGATAGTATGGATTCAGTCTGAACGATTCAAGTACGAATATGTTTACCTGGAATTCGAGGTGAGCTTGCAGAGAAATTTCACATTGACGAATGTTTTCTGGCACTTCTTTATCCATTAGTCGCTCACGAGTCTCTTCAAGCCACTGCTGTAGATCTTGCAGTTTTGTTTCGAGTTTTAGTACATCTTGTGCTTGTAGAAGCTGTTTCTCCTTCAACTCCCACTTGATTTTCAACTTTTTCCAGAGAGCTTGAGTTTCTCTTAAAATTTCGGTGATAGTCTTTGTCTCTTGAACATGCTTTTTGGTCAAAGACTGTGCCTCTTTTTCGACAGCGTCTATTCGGCCTGAGATAATTGGTTTCAGAACTTCTAGGGCCTTCAGTTCTCGCAGATTTGAGGTTATTTCTGCAAGTGTGTCGTCTGGGTCCATCTTGTCGAGCTGTCCATCAACGTTATTGAACTCATCGCGCAGCAGTTCGTTGTCTTGCTTAAACGCCAACATGTCCAACTTCTTGCCGACTAACATGCGGTAGGTTATCAACGACTTCACGGCCGCGTTCCATCTGTATGTTCAGAAGTAGAGTTATAGTAGTGATCAACACACAATAAAACAAATTAGCATATTGCTGTTCATTTCTTGTAAATAAACACTGCTCGAAATAAATAATAAATAATAATAAAAATATAATATAATAAAATAATAATAAATAATAATAAAATAATAAAATAATAAATAATAAACACTGCTCGAAAGATTTAATGTAGGATTTTTAAAAATTGCCGACTAATTTTTTTCATGGCATTGATTTTTTAAATTTACGGGTATTCCATTTTATTTGCATTGTAATTTTTTTACAATAATATGTTAGTGAAAGAGATATAAGTTTACAAGGTTATAAATTTCAAGTCAACGATTGAATATTGAAACGGCAGCTTCAAGCGGGAAGGAAATTTTCAACATGCATGATAATGCTTTTCTCCAGTGCAAGTGCGTGTCAAAAATATATCGTCCTGGTGTTATTTTTCTCTAGTGCAGGTGCATTTCAACTATACCTGTTCCTGATGTTATTTTTCTCTACTGCAGGTGCATTTCAACTTTACCTGTTCCTGATGTTATTTTTCTCTACTGCAGGTGCATTTCAACGTTACCTGTTCCCGGTGTTATTTTTCTCTACTGCAGGTGTATTTCAACTTTACCTGTTCCCGATGTTATTTTTCTCTAGTGCAGGTGCATTTCAACTTTACCTGTTCCTGATGGTTATTTTTCTCTACTACAGGTGTATTTCAACTTTACCTGTTCCCGATGTTATTTTTCTCTAGTGCAGGTGCATTTCAACTTTACCTGTTCCTGACGTTATTTTTCTCTACTGCAGGTGCATTTCAACGTTACCTGTTCCTGATGTTATTTTTCTTGAGAGCAAATACGTGTGAATGTGCTTGGTCTTTAACCATCAATTCTTCTACAACATTGTCAAGTCCTTTGAACATTTTCTGTTCATATTCCTCGTTGAAATGCTCGTTCGCCGTCGCCAAGGCGTCGAGTTTACACTTGAGACGCATCAGTTCCTCGTACTGATCCTCCGTGTCGTTTAGAGGGTGAGCTGCCTCCTGGAGGAAAAAAATTGATGTATTAGGCAATTAATTAAATTATTTAATTAATAAATTTTATTACAGTAACTGAATTATTGTTAAAGTACTTATAACTATTTGCTAAATTAGTAAAAAATTATTGTGAAATTGGTAATGAATTGTTAATAAATAGTAATAAATTATTATTAATTTATTTATTTCTTTTAAACCTAGTTCAATTTGACAGTGTATTTGGTGACGATCATAAAATTTGCGTTTCTTGAGTCTTTGAAATCACAGTTGCGTATAAAACCGGGAACATATGATTTTCGTCGATATTCTGTTGTTGAGTCAAACCAATCAAAGTGTCCGTTGCTTAATTAACAGAAAATATAATTGTATTTATCAATTAAAATTATTATCTGTTTTAATAAATTCATTTTTGAAGACTTGATATCCATCCATCTTAAACCTTTAAAGTGCGCTTATTCAATTTTAATTGTACTTATTTTAGGACTAACAATTTCTCTGATCTTGCGCCGAATAATTCGTTGCAAGGTCCTGAGATGATGTTTCTCAAGTTCTATTTCAAGGGCTCGCTGATGGGCCAGCAGTGCAGCGTGTAGTCTGCCCTGGTGCTCCAGCAGCGCCTCCGTCAGGTCCTGGATAGCGGCACTGTGACTGAGCAACGTGCCACGTAGGTCATCCCCTGCAATTTAATTGAATATTTTAATTTACTTCACAGTATTAAATAAATAAATAAAATAAAAATATAATAAGTAAATGAATACTAACGTAATTAAGTAAATTTTATTCTGGTTGATAAAAATCATGTTTCTAAATAAACCTTGATATAACGAGAGTTACGAAACCAGGGATTGACTCAAATCTTTTTAAATTATCGCATAATTCCTAAGAAAGTTTGTGAGGAAGGGGTTGGTCAGACTTCTGCATTTTGATAACAAAGTTACTAAAGATCAGTAAGGAGGTCTCATTTTGTATTGTTTTAGATGACTCAATCAAGACATTGATCTCTTTAAGCCGGATTTAGATAATCTCGGACCATGAACCGAATATAGCAACGATAAAATTAAATGTAAAAAGTGGATCTAATTATTTAAAGAAAAATATTCTAGAATCAATGTTGTGTCACCTCTCTTTTTGAGCTCAAAGATGGCTTGGGATCGAGCGTTGAATTCGTCCACGAAGAGCTTGAATTGCGTTAGGTTCTTCACGCGCCTTCTTGCTACGGTCACACGTATCTTTTCCTGTTTCTCCAAGATGGCCGCCTCGTCTTCCATATCTTCTGTTTCATGGTCTGAAGTATCGCTTTCACTGCTACTGCTGCTGCTGCTCGAGTCTTCAAAAGTTTCTTTGAATTTGTCAACAAATTTATTCAAAAGTCCTTCTTTGTCTTTGCTTGAATTGACAACGCTGGCTGCACTGGATCGTCTTGATTGGTTCTTGCTGCTAGGCAATATTTTCTTCTTCATGCGTGTTTGGATTTGTCGCTGACGTTGTGCTGCCAGATCAACGATGACGTCACAGTGATCTAGATACGCAGATTGCGATGCAATTGACTCTCGGTAGGTGATGAAAGTCTCTTCTGCTTTTAAAAGCGTCAAGCGTATGCTGGAAGGAGAAGTAAATTGAATTTAAACGTCTCTTTAAAGCCGTCATTTAATACGCAAAAGTTAGAAAACATGACCGGCCTTTAACAGCTTTTGACGTATACTAGAATGAAATCTTTTTCCACTCTGAACGCCTCACTTATTTTGAATAACTCAAATTGTTTATAGTCCATATATGGTATATATTCCATAATTACGATAGTAAAATAAAAAGTTTAAATGGAAACCACAAATATTACTACTATACTCATCATTGTTATTTCCATCTTTGTTTAGTCATCAACTCACTTGGCATCGTATTCCATTTTCTGGCATTTGCTGGTAAGATTTTTGATGGCATCCATCAAGCCGTCGGCGTAGAAGTGGCGCGACGCCGCCATGGCTTCAGCCTTCTGTCGACAGGCAGCTAAACGGCGCGCCACGGCTGAAGCCTTGCGTTGCAGTGTCTCGTGGACGCGGAGCTAATGGCGTATATTTTCGTTATAGAATATAATATAAATTATATAATAGAATAGAATAGAATAGAATAGAATAGAATAGAATAGAATAGAATAGAATAGAATAGAATAGAATAGAATAGAATAGAATAGAATAGAAGTGTCGGCAATGAAGAAATAGGCCCATGGCCTGTTGCCGATTCTTGTACTTTTCGTGTCTTGATTCACAAGGGATCCAGCCTTTGGAACCCGATCTTTCCATAGCTGACGATTGATTGAGATAGCTGCTGGACTTATTGCATGGTCCAAAAAGTGCTAGGCACACATGATGTGGCTAAAACCAATATAATAAAATTAATTCAGCAGTAAAGAAAATCTATTTCAATAGCATGCATTATGAATGCGCACTTCACTTGTAATAAACAGTCTAGAAGCTTAACTGGAACTAATGAGTCGAATACGCTGTTAAGAACACAGATTTGATGAAGGTTGCGAAAAAAATAAACTACTTATTCCAGGTTTTCAGAATATTTTACCGAAAATCCACTTGTTCTACTCATACTATTTATCCAACTTTAATTTAATTTTTTCCGCATAAAATTGTACATATGACCGTACCTTTCATTGCCGTGCATTCAATTATACCGAGCCTTACAATGTAACAAACGCTAGAGATAAATTTTTCTCACGAATAACCTTGAACGGCTAACGTAACAGCCCTAAATCGAGAAACGTTACACCCTGAACGCATAAAGTAGCAATCCCGAACCCGGACCGGCCCAGTTGTTACAGTTCAGAGAACAAAGATTGGCGGAAAAAGGCGCACCAGTTTCTGGTCAGAATTGGCAAGGAGGCCGGGCAGTTAAGCACAGCGGAATTGTAGCAGTGAGTTGCGAGTTCGAGACCGCAAAATGCTGTGAATGTTCTGCGATGTTAAGAATCGGTGACAGGCCTACGGCCTACCAAACGCTAAAAAACGCTATTATATATTTATTATTATAACCCTGAACGCAGGATGTAACAACCATTAGCGAGGAATGTAGCAACCTTATACGTGGATCGTACCAACCCTGGACGCGGGATGTAACAACCCTAAACGTGGAATCTAGCGTTCCTAACGAAGAACGTAACAACCCTGAACGCTTAAAGTAGCAACCTGGAACACGTAACGCAACAACCCTGAAGGCGCAACGTGACAGCTCAGAATATAAAATTAATCGAAGACACTCATAGTGCTCACCATTTCATAAGCCTCCACCAGCGTCGTGGGTACAAGGGAAGAGTTAAAGTGGTTGTTCAAATCCAGCAGCGCTTCTTCAATGCCTCGAGCCTCTTTCTGGAATTTTTCCAGGTCGTAGCATTGAAGCAAATAATCCTGCTTCTGCTGCCACTCAGTCAGCGTCTTCTGGATCTCAACTTCAACCTGCAATAAATATTCACACCTGTAGCAATAAATTCTTAGGCACTTAAATTTACAGACATGAAATATAAAAAAGATTATTTTGCTATCACGCTGGTAAAAAATCAAATGTATCGTTCATAAGATTGTTTGCGTGAGCAAAAATATTCGTCCAAAAAAGAATGTGGATTTTCACTGGTAAATTATTTAGCAGTTTTCTTGAAACTTTAACACCAACTATATAGCGCCGATGTATTTTAACATATTTTACATTTCTATGAAAATGCTTCCATTAGGTTATTGCAAGCTATTAATTATCTCCAATTGTTTTATACGAAACCTGACCAGCTGTTCACACACCTTCTGTAACAGTTTCTTAGCCTCTTGCTTGTTGTTGTGCTGTTCTTCCTCCATAACTTTAAGCTGACGTCGCAGTTCACTAATGGCAAGATCATGCATTTTGAGCTCGCAGAATATGACTCCGTGCTCGGACACTTGCATGCTGACAGTGTTCTTAGAAGACTTCACGGAAATGGTTTGCTGAGCGGCCTGTAGCACCTCCACTAGATGCTCAACCTATTGTAAGATAAAGAAGATAAATAATTAAGATAGATATCTTCATGCAACTAATAAAAAACTGAATATTGCATCAGCAAGAGTCAACAATTAAACATTTAAATTTCATAGCAAAAAATTCGCCTATTAGGAATATTTACCTAATCACTGTTCCTGCTAGACTATTTGTAATCGTTTTTAATAAAAAACTCCGTTTATAAAAGATAAATATGGTAGTTGATTTTAAATTAAATCGATGATTTAAATTGTTTGCATATTCATTACCACGATAAAATTCTAATAAAATTCCGTGCTATGCCAAATTTTAAACATGATCGCCATTGACACAATCATGCGGTATCACTTTTTCTTCAAAATATCTTGTTCGGTAAAAATGATTCAAAACTGTTACATCTATTTTCTCTACATATATACTATACTTTGAAAAATTATCCACTTGTTTTATTTTAGCCTCTTTACACATATATTAGCTTCATATATATGTATTTTCTCTGATAATTGTTAAATTTTGTAGAAATTTAGACATGAGCTTAATTTTGCCTTCTATCAATAAGTGAACGAATATGTAATTATTAATCATCAAATTACTTCGAAAAGATTGATCCTTGTTTTTACTCTGTTTTTATATTCAGTGCTTATATTCCCCGTTTTATATTAAATATTTACCCTGTTTTTATATTCAATGAAGAACTTGACATTGTTAAGAGCCTTGAGTGCTTCTTCCAACTCTTTCCTGAACGTTTCCCAGAGCAGCGTGGTCTTCTTGAAGCGTATCTCGCACTCACGTCGGCTCTCGTCAGACAACGTTCCCTTCTTTTCAAGCTGTTCGAACTCCCGTTGTATGTTCTGGTTCATATAACGAGGGTGTTGGAATTTAAATAGTATTGGAATTGTTCATTAAATTAATTTTGATATGAGGAAGGAATAATTGAAAAACCAAAAATGGTTACAGTGTAGGGATAATTATGAATTCAGACTAGCGATGGAATGAGTAAAAAATTTTGGACATGTGAGTAAATAACTTTTTCCAGAAGTTTGGATGAAAAAATATAAATGAATATCCTTGCATTGTAATTTTACCAGTGTAATATGGTAAATTATTGTGTAAGACAAAATTAGAAAAATGCAAGTGGCAATACAAGTAAATTGCAAAACATGCAAGCTAAATCAGGGAACGTCGCGTGCTGCATCACTTTTCAGCTAAAACTCATTCACAGTTTTTCCGTTTATTTTTTTAACCGATTTTAGTGCTCGACAAAATATAAATCATTTAATATAAGTTCAATTTCATTGTACCCTCAGTGCACCACATGTAGATACAACAAATAATACAAGTATTGTAATTAATACAATACAAATAAGTACAATATAAATAAATAATACAATACAAATAATAAAACACGAAGCTTCCTTTACACACCAAGAAGACGGGCAGCATCCACATGACGTCTTTCTTGAGGTCTTTGAGCTCTGAATCGATTTTCCTGACGAGCTTCAAGTCATCAAAGTCAGCGGTGCGAGGGATAAGCTTCTTTTTCTTCTCGACGAGCTCATTGAAATTGTCAACGTTGATGTGCCACTGCGCTTCATTGGAAATCTTTTCGGGTTTGTTGGCACCGTCCACAGTATCATCATCTGATGAACAGCTGCTGCTGTTGCTGCTACCTCCATACTCGCTGCGGCTGCTGCCTCTAGCTGTTCTCCTAGCCAATTTATCACTGCGAGAAGTAAAATATTATGTTTTTGAGCTCCATTACATAATATAACTTGGTACATGATGTTATAAAACACACAAAAATAACAGTCCACATTGTTAGCCCATGGAGTAAAGTGGCGGAAAATAATTATATAATTCCTCAGAAATTATTCACGACAGCGAATAATATCCCTAAAAATCATTATTTATTATATGCTTCCTTTGAAAAATTAGAATGATAAGATGACAGGAATGATAAGAATGAGAGCTAACACGAATAATAAGAAAACGACTAGCATCTTCGCTTATATCAAAACTCCCTGAATCAGCGTAAAATAGTTCAAAATTGTTATAAATTTTGTTTAAAATCCATATAATTCGTATTAACAAATCCATATAAACAAAAAATTCGATCGGATAAGAGGTACTGGCAACAAACTGTAAGTGGTTACGCACGCGATTTTGTCCCTCCTGGACTCGAGCTCGGCGCGCACGACAGGGTTGAGGTTGAGCTGGGCCACGCGAGCCGCGGTGTCCAGCAGCGCTTGCAGGTGTCCGTTGCTGGCGAAGGGGCGACGCTCGTTCGTCGAGCGCTGAAAGATGAAATATGGAATATAATGTTATTATTCAAACTTATTTTAATTTAAACTTATGGTTTAATAAGTTTAAAGCGGCGCTTTCGGAAAATTTTTCGCGAGCAAAATTTTTTTGTTAGTTTATATGTATATATTCAAATGCCAGAACGGCTAATTGATATGCTCCATTATTTTGTTTTATATGCCGTACAAACATGTTTTTGCCATATATTGTATAAGTGCTTATAATTTAGATGGTACCTTGTATGAGCTGCACTGCACTGACGTTAGGGTGGCAAATCAAAGATTTTAAGGTCAATTCTAAGGAACTCTAAAATCTTATGATTTTCTAATGTCAGGAAATAATTTTATTTTTTAACTTTTCTGCAATATGCGCGCTGTGAATATGAAAATTCAGTTCTCGTGCAATCATAATGATTTCGACAAATTATGCTCTCGTCACATTGATGTTTGATGATATATCTCCATCATGGTAGTGATAACTGATAATAATATTAATTCATTTATATAAATAATGATATTTTGTATACCTGTCTCCCTGAAACTTACGCTTGCTAAGATGCAGTCTGCCTCATCAAGAAAATATTTCAAATCCCGCATCAGCCTCATCTTCTCATTCGCCTTCTGCAGTAAAAGTTCCAGCTCTTGCAGGTCACGTGACGCCTCCTGCATACAGAGGGATTAATTCTAATTAATGCATGTGAATTTTTGATATAACTAACTACGAATTTCTAAAAAAAATTTTAGGAAGTCTGAATCTCAAAATCTGATTAAAAAGTTTCGAAAGTAAGGTCCTGTTCTTCTATATATTTATATTTGCCAGCCGTTTGCTTCAATGTTCACTTTAAAAGTAGATAAGGTACAACAATTTTGTATAAAATTTATCATATGTCAAGTCAATTGCATTTCTGTACTAATGATTGCAATAACTGTTGACTAAATGTCGAACATTCACTTGCAAGATATAACGTTATTAATATGCGCACAAGCGTATTCTAACATTCAAATTAAACTGTGAATCATCGGTAAATCGAAATTCATATTGATGAGAATTGACCTATTGAAAAATATCAATATATCATTTCTAATTTCCAGATGTTTGATAAAAAAATTGACATTTTGACGTAAAATTATCTGTGAAAGGTAATATATTATGAATTAACAGACTCACACTATATTATATAAAATTTGTCAAAATGACGGTAAAATTTAATGTTTATGAAATTGGAATTAAAGTCTTTATTTTTATCGTTCAGAGATTTTTCAAAATTTTTAACCTCTGTTAGAACAGGCAGCTCACCTGTACATTAACAGCGAGAGGCTGACGCTCTGGATGCTGGCTGTCAGCAGCAGCCAGCAGCGCTGTCACGTTTTCTATCATGGCCTTCTTGTCAGCAATTTTTAGTGCCAGCAACTGCACAAAGAACATGAAAAATAATATTTCCTTCAGGAACAAGAACTTCAGCGAAGAATGTAGAATTGTAGATAACATTTAAATCATCTATTCCCCTTTTACGGTAACTAAGAAAACTAATATGGGTACATGAAAATTAATATACAAGAGCATATTATAATTATGGTTGACCATTTTTATGGGGAAATGCGAATGAACATAGTAATATTATTTGAAAATAATAATTCAGTAATGTTGGTACAAAGGAGATTTTAGAGGAGAGAGCCACAAAAAACTAAGCTTGAAGAGTTCTTCAGGAACTTATGATGAAAAAATATAACTCAGTACTCACTGCAATGAGTGACAGAGAGCGCATTTTCTCGGCGACGAAAACTTGAGGTCACGGACAGACAGACGGACATGGCGAGCACAATAGTGCTTTTTTTCCATAAATGAGAAAATGCGCTAAAAACTGGCCGAAATGTAAGTATATTATTAGTGGTCAATCTTTCTAAGACCGCATACAAACCTGGAGCTGTTCCTCGATTTCAGAATCATTTTCTGTCGTGTCGACATCGAGAGTTTCGAGGTAAGTCTTCATGGCGGCAATCCATGTCTTTGTTGCGGCGATATCGAGCTGTGCGCGACGTATAGCCAATGACAAAGCCCAGTACTCCTGGACAGTCTGGATTTCCTTCTCCAGGTTTGACCAGCTTGCCAGTAGGGCATTCGTATGAGCAGTTACCTGTTGTAACGCAATGATACGCGATGATATTGAGCTGATAAGGCATAAACAGTTATTTCTAAAGAAGCAGTTCCTTATTTGATGGAATTCTGGAGACCGTATTATCGAAAATAGTTACGCGTTCGAACTCCGTCAACCAATCTCTGACGGCTTTTCAAGTTAAGCCCACCATTACAGACGATAAATTAGCCTCTACGAGTACTTAGCCCGCTACTTGTACTAAATCGAATTTCAATAGTACGGCCACAGGTCTGTAGTACAATGAAGGCTATAGACAAAACAAATTATTTACATCCCACTGTAAATTTTAAGCATTAAATTTTAATTTGCAAGTAACAGAACACCAACGATTCAGTATCAAATGTACGATTCGTACACGGCATTAACTCACTTGCGTGACGCCTTGACTGGCAAGCCGCTCGCCTCGAGCCACGACTTCATCCAAGACTCGTCGCTTGACGCGCGCCGATAGTTGCGTGTCACTGATGACGCTGAGCTGGTGAACTGCGGCCTCTATGTTTAGGTCGTCCGCCTGCCGACAAACTTTGATTATTTCAGACCCCAGAAATATGAGCAAAATGTCTGTGTAGATATTTCAAGCAATTTTCCAACTAAACGACGCTAAATTTGACAGTAGTATAAGCTGAAAACTTTAACGTCTTATTGACACACTATTATCATTTCAATGTATAATGGTTTGATCGTGATTTCATAAGCTTGTACATTGGCAGAAAAGCTCCATTCATTAATTAAATGAAGTAAAATAAGATAATGAATGAGGAATCAAAATATTTTTAGCATTACTGTGCTTAAAACTAATTACAAACCTTAGTTTGCCGAAGTTGTTTGATTTGATCTGTGATCCAGGAGGCGACGTTACCAGCGTCTCTCAAGAGGCGCGCAACGTCTAACTTCAAGGAAAGCTCCTGTCGCCGCCGCTGCTCTGCCTCCTGACACCGAATATTATGTTTAGTACTTACGTATATTGAACGTAACAACTACCTACAGTTATTAGTATTTTTATTATGATTCTAAATAGCTTTTTTGCCAATGTTGAATCCATCAGCATCTGCTCTGCCTCTTGGTGCCAGATACTATCTCTAGTGCTCTTATTAAACATTAGTACAATTATTCGTATTTTTATTACTATTAGAACTGAATTTTTTTATTAATCTTGAATTCTATGGCCGCTGCTGAAACTCTTGACGTCAGTTACTAAGGTAATTAATTATTAATATTGAATCAATCAGCAAATCCTTATAAATGATATCAATGAAATTATGACTTTCACGACCCTTACGGTTATTTAATCTACATTCTCTATAAATAACACAAAATTGATCAAATACATCGGTTGCCACTACATTTTTATTTCTCAATCACCAATCTAAATATTTATGTCGCAACAACGTAAAGTTGTTCCTTATAACCCACCTGAAGAGTGGCATAAGTCTCGTCCATTCCTTCAAGCTGTTTTTGAATGTCTTGGCTGGCCGAATGTTTAGCCTCCAGAAGCTTTGCTCCCATAGTGTGGGCCTCTTCTAGTTTTGCCTTCACAAACTTCAAGTTCCTCACCGTATGCAGATGTTCATTTTCTAATTTTTTTAACTCATCGTAGGAGTGTTCACATTTTTCCACTGCGAGAGCTCCAGAGATTTTACCAAACTGGTGTTTGATGCCATTGACTTTACTGCAAAACTGGCTGTAGGCGTTAGCTTGATCAAGAAGAACAAGCTTCTCAGCTGCGGATTCTTGCATTTCTTTCCACAAACTCTTGATCTTCTTCAAAGCCTCTGAAACGTTGTCATTTTGCCTTTTCTCGAGCATCTGCTCTCCCGTTTTAACCAAAATCTTGTATTGTTTCTCACCAGCATCAATCTCCCTTTGGAGGTTTCGATGCTTTTTAAGATGCAAATCCATTTCAACGTCATCAATCGAAACTTTAACGTCAATTTTCAGCTTTTTGCTGTTCATCCAGTCGATGAAACTTTCTGCATCGACCAGGAACAAAGATTCGTCAAGCAAAACTTGAGTGGAGTTTATTTTCTCGGAAATGCGGCCTAGAAGTTGATGGAAGTCATCTTCTAGCTGTATGAAAATTGATATGGTTGAGGTATACTTTTTGAAAACAGGCTCTTCTACGAAATAATTTATTTAAAAATTAATGTCGATTATAAAAAATTAAATTGAGTAAAATAGGTATTAATATCTGCATGATTGTCATGATACTAACACATGAATGGCGAAGAAACTAAAAAAATTCAAAGATTGAACAAAGGAATGTTTGATCGCAACCCCGTCAACCACAAAATAATTTGATACAGTGTGAACGAAAATAAAATATTTCCTTAAGACCCTGTACAGGCATAAATAACTACGCCTCAATAACGAACTACATATTGTTTCTTACCTTCCTACGTTTCTTGGTTGCCGGCAAGAGGCGGTCGTTGCCAAGTTCTTTCAATGCGTTCAAGTCGTCGTCCATCTTAGCGAACCTTGGGTGCTGTATGTCCATCTGCTCTTTCTTGGCCTTCAACTCGGACTTCGCCCGCGTGAGGTCAGCTACGGTCTGCAAGAGAGGGAAGGCCTCGGATCTTGAATTACTGCTGAAAACGCACAGCTTTCCTGCAATTCATTTCCTGTGTTGTCTATATCTTTCGCTTTCATTAATTGCGAGTGTTCAAATACGTGCAACAAGGATAATTCAAGGCTTAAGGGAGCATTTAGATCAAAATTAGAAAATTTTGGCTTTTCCGGTTTCTTGGCTCAATTTGTAGCTGCTGAAAAAGCGCTTCAAACGCAGCAAATCGCATGTATGTGCGTGCTCTAGATTTTGCGTAAAGCAATTCCAAAAAAATATGATATGAACATTTTCAACATTCGAAAAATGAAAGGATGATCTTTAGATATGGTCTTTACGCATCGAATGATATGTCTCTCGATGTTGTAGCTTGAAAATCCTAGGAGGAGATAGATTTCTACAGTACCCTATTTTATTGACTTTTTCTGTTAATTTCACGTTTCTTTCATTTTTTTAAAGTTTTACTTAAAAAAATTATTGATTTACATTTTACATATGTGTGCAAAGTTTCACAATAATCCTTCCGTAAATAAAAAAGTTTTTGTTACCGACATGCTCCTCTTTTAAAGAGATAATCTTATGAAGAAAGATTAAAGATTATTAAGCTTCCAAGTCTCTGTTTTCGACGTCTGTGAGGTAACCTTATTTTAGTGCACATGTATACTCAATACTCATGGTTTATGCAAGGTCCCAGAAAGGTTACTAGAGTTTGAAACAAGAACCAACACCAGGGGCCACGGTTATTAGCTAAAAAAACTGCAGTGCAAGCCATCCATGTGACAGCATTTTTTCTCGCTTCAGGTCACCGACTTGCGGAATAGCCACCTTGATGATATTGTTTACGCTCTGGGTATAAACGTTTTCATGAATAAACTGTACAAAGTTATGCAAAATTATATGTTTAGTTTTGAAATGCCTGGCATCCTGCGGAACTAGTAAAAGTGATGATGTAAACCAACGTCAGTTGAAAAGATCTTGTCAAAAGGCCCGTTTTTGATCTGTGAACAAGTTATGAAACGTACAATTACGGCTACAGACCTAAACAGGTCTATTTCTTCAACGCCGAATATGCTATACTATTAGTTTTTGTCTCTGTATATGCATGCCTGATACTGTAGAGCGTCAATCAGGCAGTTGGTGCTGAGTATGAAGGCTGTCATGCTTTCAATGCTTGTTTCCAGATCACGCAGGCGTTGCAGACGTTCAAATAGACGCTCTTTCTCCTGCAAAGTCTTCTCAAGCCGATTCATCGCATCCTCTAAGTCCTTTATCTGCGAGATTTGAATTCAATATTCTAGATTAAATTTTATAGTTTTGAACTCCTGCAAATTACTCAAAGAAGCAGGTGGATTTGATGTTTGATGTTGATGTAAGTAGGAAAAAATAATAAATTTGCATCCAAGAAAAGGAAATTTCTTAAATCCAATTTTGAACATTTATTGGTATCTCATTTTTTTTAAATTGCCAACGTGTTTTACAAAAAATCTGAAAAAGTTGCACGCTTTTCATTTTACTCTTTATCATAAACCTAAATAATAAGGAAATGTGCTTGATATGGACCTTTTTATTGTATTTATTTTCAAGGGGATGACCAGAAGTGACGTGATCATCGAGTAGTTTCCTTCTCTTGATTTTCCTCTTGTGCTTTTCTGCACATTCCTTCAAATGCGTCAGCTTGCGCTGAGCTACAGAGACGTTGACGTCGCATGCCAGCGCGTCGACCTCTTTTTGTGAGACTTCAACAGCATCCAAAAGTTCCTGGGATAAATTTGAAAGGGGTTCAAATTTCGATGGATCTGTCGTAACACAATCAAATTCCAACGTCAACAAAACTTATGAAAGTTTGAGTAAAGCTTACGACAATCCCCCCAAATAAATAAATAAGAAATTTATATTGTGAGCGGAGTTTTTCATTTTTACTTAGTAGAATTAAAAGTCCAAATAGATTTAATTTTCATGTTGAGCCAGATTTTTTATTAAAATCACACACAATGAATTATTATCACACACAATCCGGGAAACAATCAGAAGCAGATTGGCACGTTTTTTAACTTTTTTAGAGTTGAATTTCACGACAGGATGAAACAGCTGCGGAATTGCATAAAACGATCTTGGCGAAATTTTAAACCCTTCGGTCCATTCCTTCAAAACTCGAGGGTCGTATGGAAATTACTATAACATTTAAAATAACATATACAAGTTCACTCTGACCAATATTGGTATGTGAGAGTCCTACCTGGAGGTGGTTGAGGTGGTCGTGCAAGATGACCGTATCCTGAAGCAGGTCACGCTGGCGGGTACACTCCTTCTTCAGGTCCTTCCACCTCGTCCTGAGATCCTGAAGGCTGGACTCCCTCTCATCGTCGTCACCCACATTCAACCGCGCCTTGTCCAACTTGCAGAAAAATACTTATCTTACCGACTTGAACATATTCAATTTTATGATCCAAAAAACTATTCATAGGAATGACCCACCGAATACTCTTGGAGAGTAAGACACGTGATACGATTTCTTTGCATTAAATAAACCATAAACAGGAAATTACAGCAATTTTTTCTATAATTATCACAAATTTGCCTCAATGATTTAGTTCGATAATACTAAGTCCGCGTTTTGGTGAATCGTGAATTTACCAACCTAGAGATTTGAATTTTGCTTATGTCGCTATTGATTCGGATCAAAATTTGTTTATGTGTAGTTTCGTCTCTTTCACTCCAATTTTTACTTACAGCGTCTTTCATGGCGGAAATTTCCGTCAGCAATCGATCGTTGTCGGCTTGAAGATTTTTAGTTTCTTTGGCGGAGTCGCCAACTACCTTTTTCTGCAATTTTTGCTCGACTTTCTGCATCCAGTTGTTGAGCTCGCTGCACTGTGCTTCAAACTCGTCACATTTCGATGTGTCCTCTAATTTTTCTTCTCGCTTTTTCTTCAGCTTCACGAGTTTATTCCATTCAATGGCGGTGTCCTGGTAAGTCTTTTCAATCTTGTCCAAGTTTCTAACGTTTTCTTCGACGAGCTCCTGCGCCATCTTGCTGATGGCTGTCATCCGTTTTTCTCCGGCAACCATACGCACTGAATACTCCTTCAGGTTCCGCAAATTTTCTTCTGAAGTACGTTTGTCTTTCAAGGCAGCTCTTACGAAGCCATCTTGTTCTTTTATCCAAGCTCTGAAGCTGCCACAAGTTTCCATAAAATTCAAGAATTTCTTGGTTTCGTTAAGCTCGGCACGAATATCTGATGTGGTTCTCCGGAGGTGGCTATAAGAGTCTTCCACGCGCTGAAGCTTCTCACTCATCAAATCTGAAATTATAATATTAATAAAATAATATTAATAAAACGTATAAATAAATAACTCATTTACACGAAATTATGATATACATCTCATTTTTATAATTTTATTTTATTAATATTCGTGCATATACCAAGAATCTATCGTGAAAAACTACGAACCGTTAAGCTGCAAGTCTTGTCGAGCAATCTTGCGTGAGGGCCAATTCGAAGAACCCGGGGAATTTTCCTTGTTGGTTGTTTGCTCTCCGTCGTCAGCAGAGCCGCTGGAGCTGCTGGTCTCCTCGTCACTGCTATCATCCTACATAAAATGATAGCGTAAACATTACCGCAATACGTCGGATGATAGCACAAACATTACCACAATACGTCGGATAATAGCGTGAACATTACCGCAATACGTCGGATGATAGCGTGAACATTACCGCAATACGTCGGATGATAGCGTAAACATTTCCGCAATACGTCAGATGATAACGTCCATATTACCGCAATACGTCGGATGATAGCGCAAACATTACACCCAATTGGCCTGGGTTAATATAATAATAATAGCGGTTTCAGCGTTTACTAGGCCGTAGGCCTGTCGCCGATTCTTAACATCGCAGAACATTCACAGCATTTTGAGGTCTCGAACTCGCAACGCACTGCTAAATTCTGCTTTTGCATAACCGCCCGGCCTCCTTGCCGATTCTGACCAGAAACTGTCGCACAGAGCTGGGATCGAACCCGCGCCTCTCTAGTGCGTCAATCTTGGTACTCTGAACTTTAACCACTGGGCCACCCTGCAGGTCAATAAAACTCGTTCCCAGAAATAGAGAATCTCGTTACCAGTTAGGACAAAAATTTACCTAAAAAGCAAATAATTAGGCACTCAAGACAAATTTCACTTCAATATACCCTGTACAGAAATCGGTCATACACCGGTGAGAACTATAGACATTCTCCTTCCCACATGTAGGTAGCCAGACGAGATGTTAAAAAAATGATACAGATTGGGAAAAAGTTCAAAGCGAAATAGACGTAAAATAATTAAAAGAAAAATTACTTCAAATATTAAAAAAATATAACTCAGTACTCCCTGCAGTGAGTGACAAAGAGCGCATTTTCTCGTCGACGAAAACATGAAGTCACTGACAGACAGACGGACATGGCGAGCACAATAGTGCATTTATTCAATAAATGAGAAAATGCGCTAAAAATGATGCTGATTATTGGCCCTCCGCTTACCTGCTGTTTACTAGGAACGAAGGTGAGTTTAGTTGCTGTCAGCCTGAAGGCTGCTAGCCGCGGCGCGAAGCTGCCGATGTCAGCCTCAACTCGCTCAACGGCGTGTAGCGCAGCGACCGCCTCCACAACGCTGGCCGGGGGCGTTACGACTGCCGTGCGCGCCTTCAGGAAAGTTTCCGCCTCTTCCAGAGCATCGAGAAACTGGGGTGTGAAAATTAGTTAAAATGAGAGATAGTTGTTTCGAAACAACTATCACTTAGATGTATCGTCGATAAGTGGAAATAGGAGAAAATTAGATCAAGTAGATTGGTTCTGTGCCGAAAATGGAAGAACTTTTCTTCCATTTTCCGAATTCGATGGAAGAATTTTTGTGGTGCAGATAAGGAAAATGAACTTGCAACGAGTAAGTATATTGTTATTGGTAGGGCACTGATAGTACACCAACTAATATTGAAATTTTAATTCAATAAATTTCAGCCATAAATAATCAATTCCATGTAATGAGAGCAATAAGAGTTAATAATTAATTAAGTTTTACCTCGTCTGCAGCAACAAATCGCTTGACCCTCTCCTGATGAGTCATGAGAGCGGGTTTAACATTTTCGAAAGAATCAATAGAAATGTTGACTTGTTTTTCCATGAGGGTGAAGCCCTCATTACTTGATCCCTGATGGTCGCGCAGAACTTGCATATGCTTCTGTATCGCTGCTACCAGAGGCTGGTACGCCACGTGTTCCATTACTGCGAGCTGCGTTATGAAGAAATAACTCGTCTTGTTACGGATATTATATTTAACAAGGAAAACACAGAGTTATGTAGGATATAACATTTTCAATTCCATGTCAATATTTATGGCTGATAATATTTTTCTAACTAATAATTATCCTATATACAATATACTATTTGCAGTATATATGGATACAGTTAACACATTATATATACAGGATATGTCATAATTATTGTAATATAAGTAATATAACGTAAACAGAAAAAATATTTTATTATAAACAAAATTTTTGAATAAAAATTTGGAAGATAGATGTATCAAATAATAAAATGACGTTATTTAAAAAAAGATGATACAAAGGTAATTTACTTCTGTTCATTCATTTGGTCATTGTTCGGTGCAAAGATTACTTACTATGAGGTACTTTTTCTACTTTTCGGGGCAGAAAAAAATGTTGCGTAGCTTTCGAATTCATTAATAATATGATGCAGATGATATGATTCAGATACACACACAAAAATTCAAAGGCAGTGACAACAATTTAAGCTCAAAATCAAAAATGTAAACTTGAAAAACATAAGCAACCTTTTTAAAAATAACGCTAACGACACCACATCAGGATAATTCGAGATTTTCTGCCGTATTAATAGTTCTTGTATTGTTATAACATAACATAATGATGGCGCTGAAGAGTTGGCCTGATGTGGCCTATCGCCGATTCTTGAACTTTTCCTGACTTGTTCAATGAAGATCTAAAATCGTGTCATTAGGCCGGATCTTTTCAAGACCGACGATAGTTTGAATAGCTACTAGACTTCCACCGTGCAACCTAAAGTTACACCAAAATAAATGCACAAGAGATGATTAATTTATTTTATTAATTCACTCCAATTTATAAAGATAATTCAGTTACCGCTCACCTCGAGCGCATCCTTCACGGCCATGAGTGTCCCGAAGTCGCCAACGTTGAGTCGTCGTTCCATGACGAGCTTCGTGGCGTGAGTCCAGTCGTCCAGTCTCTTGCGGTTCTCCTCTAAGTTGGCAACCACGAGGGCCGAAGACAAGACTCGGTGCATGGTGCGGCGCACATCGTCAACCTTTAATAAAATTGAGTTAATTGAGTTGAGTTGTTTCATACATTATTAAATTTATTATTATGTGTCATTTATTATTTTGCGTTGTGGAATGAAAACAGACCTGCATCTAATTCTAGCGATAATTTCAGACTCAAAAATACAATAATATTACTCACGCGGCCGCTGACGAACGCTAACAGATGTAGCGGTCACTCAGGTATTCTATAGAATGATTGAAAATATTTTGAAAGCGCTATGAATACTCTAACCATTATTATCTAACTGAAGTAAAACACCTACAATTTCTGTTCTCATTGTTGGCTGGAACCACCACCCATAACTTATGTTAAATTTTTTGCAAATTAGATAAATAAAATGAATCCACCTACCTCCTTGAAGAATTTATGGAACTCCAAAATGCGTCCGATGAAGAACTTGGCAGTGGCATCATCCGACTTCTGGTACTGTGAGCCTCGCTCGGCGATTTTGTTGAATGATTTGCGCAGCGTCGTGATGCTTGTCCTCGCGTGGGCCACTATCTCCAGTCCCGTCACCACCGACATCAGTGAGTTATTCAACTCAATATTTTGCAGCTTCGACTGCACAATTATCTTAGTATTAACAAAGAGGAAGCAATAAAACTGCAAAATTTTAAATAGTTATCATGGAATCAGCTGTAAATATTTTGTGATAATTATTGGTTATGTTAGTGAAATTCTCTGCTCTATGAATTCATATTTTTTTCGTGTTTTCAACCACCGTGCTAAGCGATTCTCAACAAGATCATAAAAAACCCTTTCTGTAACTGTATAACGTAACACTGGCTGTCATAAAATTAGTAGTTTGAACCCACTACGCACCGCAATAAATCCTATAACAACTCTGAAGCAAAACTGACTCATGCCAGACTTTAACAGTGAATTTCAACTTCACCAAGCTATTAGTGTCAGGTTGTATTCCAATGATGTCATTAGTCTCGGACGTCACCTTCTGTGATGTCACTATTCGCGGGTCTTCGCGTATATAAGCTCCTCAGAGTAGACCTTGAGTCAGTCTATAGCTAGAGCGAACCCGACCAGCACCTTGCTCTAAACCGCGAATAAGCATCTACGTTAAGCTGACTCCGGTAACTGTGTGCCTCACCATAGTGCCGTTAACTATCATTGTACTAAACACTCCTATCTGTATTAGGCTCCCCGTCAATTTAGACCCTCAGGATTATAATGAACTTAACTTAAAACTAACTTTTGCTCTACCGACCAAACCGGACATTAGAGTAACTTTAAAATTCTTTTAACCTTTTCAAATATGGATTACATAAAATCACTTTAAATCACATAATCTTTTCCTACTTTTCCGTAGTATTTTTCCTGCTGAGATACTTGTAGGACACTCTAACCTTCTTAGAAACGTCAATACAGGCCAACCGTAGCGAATTTTTTGTTCATACCTTTCAAAGTGCAGCTCAAGTGATTACAAAATTATTTTTTACGCTTTACTAACCGTAAAAAAGTGAACCGACCTTAATCCTGCCAAGCTCTTCTTGGTAGACATCGATGTTTGTGATGCAGCCTGCGATCTCAGGGTGCGCTTGGGCCTGTTTATTCAGAGTCTGGAGGGCGCGCATTAGAGTCTGGTAGCGCTCCTGAAGTTGACTTGCCACCTCCATCATGTCATCTGCCATGTGATATTTCCTGGCCTGAAGCTCTGCTGCGGCATTCATCAGCTTATCGAACTGTTCGTCCTGCATGAATTATTCAATGAATATATCATCTTACTGTGAATTATTTAGTGCACTGCACATATTTTTGCAAAATTTAATTGTAGAAAATGTTCAAAATGGCATTGGTGTATCAAATTAACTTAGATAGCCCTGAACTGTAACTATGAAATGTAATACTGTACTGATAATATAATCATATTTATATAATTAGTTTCCATCAAATTTCCATGAATATTTCATTCTTTCATGATACTTCATAGAGTACCATATATGGTATATAAGCTCAATTTTTGTGGAACACGAAAAGCCGTCACTACCGTCATCCAGGTTTTTTTTCGTGCCTGGATTTTAACTATGGCTAGGATCGAATCCTTACATCAGCTTTTATTACTTTATGGCAGTCTAAAACGCGCGAAAATAAATGCGACAGCGTGTCCCACCCGTCACAGTTTTACTAATAAAGTTCACCTTCGTCTGCAGTTCGGCCAGAAGGCACACGAGTTTGTGCAGGCGCTCGTTTATCGCGTCCGCAGAAAAATCAGTCCGTTTTTCGTCAAAGGCGAGCCAGCGCTCCGGATCCTTCAGGCTCTCCTCCCTCATGAACACCTGACATCCAAACGTAAAATAGCATTAGTAACCGGACTTTCAAAAATATTTGAGAGGTCCTAATTTTGTCCGCCAATCATTGAAGGTTTTTCGAGTTAAACGTTTCAATCACTGATGTCAGCACCATATCGAACCCGGTGGAAGTCGAGTAGCTGTTTCAAACTTTCGTCAGTCGTGAAAAGATCCGGTCAAATGACACGAGTTTAGATCTTCTGTGAACAAGGCATGAAAAGGAAAAGAATCGGCGACAGGCCACATCAGGCCTACACTGCAGCGCCGAGATCACTATGTTATATTATGTTATGAGAAATTAGCCGCTACGTATACTTAGGCCGCCACTTGTACTAAAGTAAGTTTTGATAGCACCTCCCGTGCTGTAATGCATCAAGCAAACTGCGTTTACCAAGTCGAAACTTTGGCGGTGGGGTTATATTGAGTCGTGATCTATAGCCCGCCCGATTATAATTAGATTAGCTCATATTCAACTGCTCACTCAGCATTCTACCACTGAGTCGCGCAAAACTTTTGCAATTATAATCAACTGTCATATAAGTACATAACTTTTCAATCCTCTCGGCGCATTAATCGGAATTTATCCCCGAAAAGTGTACATTGATTCAGAATGGAAAATATTTGGACTCATAACTCACAATTGGAATACCACAGAGTAGAATTTTATTTACAAGCACAGATTCATAATGCAAAACTATTATTCAAATGAAAATTAAAAATAGGATTATTTAAATATGCAAATACCGACATTGGTCGTGGCTTCGGCTATTACGTAACCGCAATCGCAAAAATGTCAGACTGGTTGAAAGTTTACGTTTGCATAATCGTATTGGTACTTAAAATTATATTTTTATGAAAATCGCGTGAATAGTTTCATTTAAATGGACATGTGATGACAAATCGATTACATAGTAAACCTGTTCAGTTGAACAGTTGATTGACGATCGAATGGATTTGAACTTAACGGTGATTTCCAATGAGATTTTTTTAGTAATAAAATAATATTCTACAAAATTATCCAGTAAGAAAAATTTGAGCTCGATGTAAAATTAATTTCATAAAAAGCCTTAAAATCAAGATAGCGATTTCAAAATCAGAAATAAAATATTGCTGAGTACTGTAAGGAATTGTTATGAGGCCGGTTAGGATTCCAACCTTCCTCTTGAAGGAGCTCGCGAGGTCTTCAAGGACTTCCTGGCGAGCCAATTCCTTCTTGAGTGCAGACTCCCGCTTCGTTAATTCCTCCTCCAAGATCTGCCATTCTTTTTGCAGATCTGGCAACAGTTTACTGCGTAGCGGATCTGTGGTACGCTTGTTGATCTCATTGATTCTGGCGTCAACCGAGCTGATCAGCGCGATCACTTCGTTGTATTCCATGATCCTGCGACGTAATACGAAAAATGTTAACGCATGATACCTCAGCTTAGTCTATTATGGTCTAGTATAGAACAGTCACAATCTGTACAACTCTGTATGTGGTCTAATAACTACCTGAATATATGTTGTACTGACCTTAATATTAAATCTTATTTATTCATGAGTGAGACACACTTACCTGAACTTGACGTCGTGCTTTCTGAAGTGGTTGAGCTGCTGGCAAAGTTTCTGCACGCCATGAAGAGTGTTTGGAAAGTCCCGGGCCCTGAGGGCTGAATAGCTGCTCTTTATCCACTGTAGCAGCAACGTCACCTTGCCCTCGTACGTGTACTTGAGACGCTCGATGCCCACAGCCTGAGGGTTGAGTGGGAGTGACAGTTTAGTCAACGCGCCCCGTTCAGTAACTTGGGTTTACTTTGTTGTAATAAGATCCTATTGTAAAAGGTTTCTATTGTAATGAGTTCATATTGTAAAGAGTTGCTGTCGTAATAAGTTCCTATTGTAATGAGCTCATATTGTAAGTAGTTTCTATCGTAATGAGTTCCTATTTTAATGAGTTCCTAATGTAATGAATTCTATTATTAGGCATCAAAAATAGTTTAAATACTATAGGCAAATAATGTAAATGCTCGTAAAACACAAAATTTTTATTTCTGAAAAAAGGATCGCGCAAGGAAATGAAGACCCTACATTTATGCGCGTCTAATAAATAATAACCTTTACCTACAGCTAATAGAAAAATATTTATGTATAATATACGCATCGTATAGATGGCCCTAATCAATAAAGTGTTTCGATATAATCTTGAGCCTTTTTAAGGATATTCTTTTACGAGTGTATCTGCAGGTTAAAAGAGTATGAATCGGAATAGATATTTCTTGCGAATTTTGAATCTAGTTTTTCATAGTTTTTCAAATTTTTTTTAATTTATAGCTTCTCTATAAAAAATGTTAAACAGATGCAGTACAAATTAACAAAATACTCGTTCTTGCCCTAATCAACAATATAACATCACAACAAGATAGGTAGCATGGATACGCCAATGGCCAATCTTGATTACAGCGCCAGACTCACAACTCCGAACAATCGCACCCACCAACACTCTGGCATCTATAATAGTCACCATAAATAAGTTGAATTATTTATTATTACGTAGCATATAATATAAGGTCGTTATTTAATATGCGAAATAAGTTCGGTGATGAAGCAACTTACTGTGGTGAGCTTGCGGTTGCAACGCTTGCCGTGGTCGAGCTGGGCGAAGCAGTGGAAGAAATAAGCTACGTACGTCATCACTGACTTCTCGTCAGGCCGCTGCTTCTCCAAATCTGCGAAATATTCTCATGTATTGGAAGGATCACGAAGATTGTGAATCGGTGTGACATGACGGTGGCTTTTATATGGCGTACAAATAGTGGTGGCGGCCAGTACAACTTACTATATAAATACGCCACTTTTTACAGTATTTATTCATTATGGGCCTGGCCTACTGACCGTGGAATGACCTATTAACCCGTTTACCTAAGGCCAGTAGTATAAAAATTAGTAACTGTTGAAATAAGCCGCATCTACTTGAGCCCCGAAGCTAAATTTGGATGTATATAAAAATTTTCTTTCCAATAGTAAGAAAAATAAAGAAAGATAGATAATAAGGTTTAAAAACGAATTAAAATAATGCGCTTGTAAACAGGTAGAGGTTTCAGAGCCGATGAACAATTTTATATCAAACATTTACCGTCAAGTGAATTTCAAAAATAAATGATACAAAATAGCATCAACATCGAGAATAGTTAATATGCATTAGCAATATATTCTAAAGTTCTATTGCATAATTGCAGTTAAATGTGTTGAATTTTGTGCACAAATAAGCAGTTTCATTTTTCAGATTTTATTCAAAGATTCAAAAGATGTGTAGCAAACAATGACTATCCTGCATAGTTTACATGTTTTTAACTCTGTACAAAGAATCTAGTCGACATTTTTATCATTTTATTTAGGTTTTTTTAAAATAATTATAATTAGCGTACCTTCAACATCGAGGATCCTGGTTATGCCGAGGTTTTGCTCGGCGATGCGGAAGGCGGTCTCTAGGTTGAACGCTTTTTCGTGTGGATTGAACACTCGGTACTCGAGCAGGTCGGGCCGGTGAGCGTGGATCAGGGCTAGGAACGCGAGCCCGCTACGCCACGACGCTGCAATTAGGAGTAAAATGTAAAGTTATTATTCAGACGAACATCTATTATGAAAATAACGCAGAAATTATAAAGATAAGACAGAAATTATGAAAATAACGCAGAAATTATTAAAGTAATTCAGAAATTAATATGATAACACAGAAATTATTAATATAACTTATAAATTGTGAATATAACTCAGTAATTCAGCAAATCAAGCAGAAATTGCTGCGTCAGCACAGAAATTTCGAATGTTGCGCAAAAATCGCAAAGATGACTCAGGAATTATGGAGGCAACTCATAAATTATGAAGATAACGCTGAAATTACTAAGGTTATTCAGAAATTATGTAGATAACTAAAAATTATAGAAGGAACGCATAAACATCAAAACAAAGTAGAAATTATGAATGTAATTCCGGAATTGATAGGGCAGCGTATATAGATGATATTTTGAAGGTAACGCCGAAATCATGAAGATGACTCAAGAAGTGTGAAATTTACTCAAAAAATATGATATTTACTCTAAAATTATGAAGATAACTCAAATATTTCCGAAATTGTCGAATGTGTTTTTGGATGGTGGAATAATTCAAAGTTCATATGACAATTTACGTTTATAAATTATAATAAAAAATAATCATTTATCCGATCGTAAATCCATCAGTCGTTTGCTATCAGAATTTTATCACAAATTTATTATAAGTTATTTATCCGTTTTTTCTTGAATTATTCAGAACAAAATTTCAAATAATTGGATTAATTTGACATTATAATATTAGAATTAGTTATATGGAGTCACAATAAAAGAAGTATGGACATTATGCCATCCTCAAATAAATCAGAAATAGAGTGTTTGAAATCAACAAAGCACAAAATTTAGGCTTTTTAAATAAATTACATACGATGCTCATGTTGAATGTATTCGTTCCAGAATGAAATATACTTTAATTAAATACATTCGGCTCTAATGTAGATTTTATGACAACATTTTTAAAGCTTCGGAATTATCCGAAAATTTTCCATTTAAATTAAATGCATTTGTTTAAAACTTGTTTAGATTTTTGAAGACTGCATGAGAATTTCTGACAGACAGAATTATGCCATTGTTGAAAAAAAAAGAAGTAATGAAAATTATGTCATATTTACAGATGGTATCATTTTAAAATGCAACAAAATCAGGAGAATAAAGATGACAACAAAGAAATACAAATGGGAAGGGATAGGGTAACGTGGGGCAGCGCGCCCCCCCCCTTTTTTTTAAACTAAATTTTTGATGAAGTTTTAATTGATACGAGGTGGTTCTTTGTTTTGTTTAAAGGTGCAACTAATGAGGAATGTATGATGTGAATTAGACGCCTATAGAGTTATTCAATTTTTAATGAAACACTATTTTGTAAAAAGTGTCAAAATGGGCCCATTACCCCACCCCTGGGGCAATGGGCCCATGGGCTTGGGGCAAGGCGCCCAAAATGTCAACAACCTGTAAACACACTGTCAACACTCCGTCAACACACAATGTCAACAACCTGTAAACACACTGTCAACACACCGTCAACATATTTATGATTGTGAAACATGCCATAATCATCAAAATTCACTTAAATTTTCTTTGTCAATTGTGGTTTATATTTCGATATATTTCATTAATTAATACAAAGAACACAATTTTTATACAGAAAGGATGCGATGTTTGTTCAGTAAGCAACGATCCCTCAGAAACAATGTTTGTACACAGTTTACCTAAAAGTTTTCTATGCAACAGCCACGATGAAGATTGCAATAAAAATTTCAACTGATAGTTTTATACACAAGCAAGATAAATAAAAATTAATATAATAAAAGTTAAAATTAATATAATAAAAATTAAAATTAATGTAACAAAAATTAAAATGAATGTAGTAAAAATTAAAGTTAAAGTAATACAAATTACAAGTAAAGTGATAAAAATTAAAATTTATGTAATAAAAATTAAAATTGAGATTTTTACACAAGTATAAATCCATTGGATTTATCGATTGAGAGTTTTACACCAGGATAATCCATTAGAATAAAATTGGATTGAAGAGTTTTTAAGTTTATATTGTGGTACTCACGAAGGCAATTTCGATCTGGTTGATGTGGTACTTGTGTATGATGGACCACGTGAGCCCAAGGACAAGATCAGGAACCCCGTCTGCGATGTCCTCGGGACCGATCCCCACGAGTTTCATGTTCTACTCGGGTGCAAAAACATATTTTTCAAATATATTGATTTTGGAAAAAAAACACATCTAAAATTTCCATCATAATCAGTTAAATTTTTCATTGACTCATTTGAAATTCACATCATAATCATTCAAAATTTGCATCATAATAATTTGAAATTTCCATCATAATCGTTCAAAATTTCCATCATCATCATTGTAAATTTACATTATAATCATTCAAAATTTCCATCGTACTCAGTTGTAAATTCTCATTAGTATTTTCAGCATACTCAGATCAACGATCTCACGGAACTGGGTATCTGTGATATTTATACTTATACTAAACTTACGAAAGTCTTGAGAAACTCTGCGATTGTAGGTAATTTTCTCGTTAGGTTTTATTTCAGTACATCTGACTTTGAGGCTAAGAATTGAGGTAATTTGACAGTTAAATTTGCCATTTAGACTCACCTGTCTGCGCAGGAAGTCAAAGGATACGCTGACATTTGACACGTTGTGCACTTTAGAGTTGCCTTTATTAAGCTTAGGAAGCTCTTCGCCAGAGATGATCTCAAGCAGACTGCGCAGGACGAGTCCATCCTTTAGGTCCTCGAACACATCCTCCACAGACTGTGAATAAACCCCCTGCGCCCACAGACGCAGGATTGTGTGTAAAATTGTATCTTTTGTAGAAATTTGTTACACTACCTAATAAATTCTACTAAAATTATTAACATCATGGATTTCAGATTTAAAAATTCTTATTTATCAATTCAACTTACAATCGATATCCGTCATTCTGAATCAACGCAGATATTTGAATAGATCTTTAAAAAAATTTATTGTACAATTAATAATTAATAATTTTAATAATTAACCGACTGGACCGACTAACCAGGTGGTCATTAACCCATTTAGTGAAAGATTTTTTCTGTGTATCACGCTGCTCGTCTCGCAGCTGCTTTATCCTGCCGGACTCGAAGTCCGCCATGTTTAACTGCTCAAAAAATCGGCAATGAATGAAAAATGCACTATAACTAATTTTATCACAAATCGAAAACTATGATTTACTTTAAATTTCACAGCGAGAGTTGAATTGGAGAATTTGGCAAATATGGGTTTGATAGGATCTCCTAGTAACGGGATTCTTATAACGAGAACATTATTTTAAAATCAAAATTAATCATCTATTTATCCCAAGAAACGCTCATTAATCTGCTGGTGTTCTTTACACTCGTGTTTATTATTTAATATGATTAATTACAGTGGAGACAATATCGTTAGCGAATCCAATATTCTTGCTACATTGGAGATGTTCGTATGCCATGTTCATTGTTGTTTGGATATTTTTGTATGCTCTGTATGCTCTTGTATGCTCTGTATTTCTGTTTAGTGCCGCGTTTATCATAGATGGCGAGAAATATGTTCAAGGGAAATGAGAATTTAAATGTTTAAAATGTTTAATGCGACACGAAAAAGAGTTATTTCGGAAATAACCGTCTGCATGAGAGCATTTCATTCAAATGAAAACGATAGATAAAGTATTTTCCTAAGTGGCTTGGCAATGAAATGACTATTACACCTAATGAAATAGTAAATATGGATTAAGTAAATGTCTTCGCCGAGTGTTACTTATTTTCATAGATAAATTTCATTAATTTGACAAAAATTGGCGTGGAAATGTTTACAAACTCATAAAACATTAAAGATTTATTGTATGCAAATAATAAATAATATAAATAAGACAATCCCAATTTGATTTTCTGAGGAATGATACATTGGTGGATCTAGTACTATACCATCAAATCGCACTCCTGGTGTTTTATTAAGTACATCGACTGACATCAGTAGCAGAGATGATACAAGACTAAATTAGTGGAGACATCAGGTGAATTTCCCACTTATACGTCTGGGAGCAAGGGCTGCTTGTACGTTCGAAATTAGCTTCGAAGGGACTTCGGACTTAGCTTCGAAATGAGACTTGATAGTTCATATATTCTATTTTTAACGCAAAACCAGCGTATTTATTATTCTATTCAATTCAATAGTGAACAATAGCCGCATAATTTTACAGTAACGTTTGATGCTTGAAAGTAGGCGTTAGGCAGATCTGGTTTTACTGTGAATTTTCGCGAATTTTCATGAATTCCGAATCAGTGAATTAGTGTCGACTGAGGAACCGATAAAACCCTTTTATTGAAAGCATATCAAACTAAATTTTTTATCATTATATGAACTAGATAATATTCTCGATCGCTATCTGCTAAAATATTTCTTTGATTATTTTGTATTGTTTCTTTAGAGGGTTTGCAATCCGTAATTTGTTTATTTATTGAATGAGAAGGATTAAGCGACAACTCAAATGTTACAATCTAATAGTGGATTGCATCAATATTATTAATAATAATAATGGTAATAATAATAATAATAATTATTATAATAACAATAGTATAATAATAATAACAATGCAGTTATTTATATTATTTGTACTATAGTGCATGACATGGCGTTATGCACTATTTTCTTATCGTGTATAATGTATTTTTGAGTTTGCTAAATATGCCATGTTGTGTTGAAAGCTACTTGGATGTTCGTGATTTGCTTCTGTTGCATAGATGGAGGTTAACAATATTAAATATTAATTAAAAATATTAAATCTAAAAACATTAAAAATATCTATTCTATTCTATTAAATCTAAAATATTTATTAAAAATATTAAATCCTCGCAGTTCAAATAATGTTTAATATTAATACCTTTGCAAGTTTGTAATTAAAAGACTTTAATCTAAAAATTACTCAAATATTTTGGATAATTGAAATTTAATAGAACTAAACAAACATTTTTCGCAGAGTTCTAAAATGAGTTAGTAACTTTGCCTCTGCAATGGATCAACATGCAATAATTTTAATGAAAAATAAACAACTCACTGTTATTTGTTCACAATAAGAAGGAACGCTTGATGCTACCGTCACTTCCTCTGTCACTTCGTGCAATACACTGAAAAAAATGCAAGGTATTCTTCAACACGACAGCGTTACGCAGTTTTGTAACTTCATCTTAGAGTTTCCGTCGACTTCATTGATAAGCTTATCCGATAACGATAATAAAAAAGCGTCTTCAGTGCGACCAGAAGTTTTCAATGGTATTCCTACCTACTAAAATTAGGTGGCTAAATTCAGAGATACTATTTGTACCTGAAAACTCAGCGTGAAATAATAACGTGGTATTTAGTGAAACTTATTTCCAATGTTGAAATTCCGCTGATAGTAGCTCAGGCTGGAGATAAGATAGGGATGTCAGTCTGACACCAATAAATGAATGATCCTTAATACTCAACTGATTTGAATAAAAAGAAATAATATATGAATTTCAGACCTGTGCATTTTGTGATTTTTTTTAGTTGGTGTTTTCTGTATCGCTTGCAACTGCATTTATCGGCGGTGAAAAACACGTTAAGTCGTAATACATATCCTTTAATTCATATAATTTTGATTAATTTACTCTGACGTGTGTGGATGAATAATTTATCAGGATGCTTAGGCATTTGTATTCATAAACAAAAAATTCTACGCGAGATTGATGACCCATTTAATGCCCCATATTCCTCAGTAACATTATATAATGTCATCCATGTCGTTTTAAAGAAAATGAATATAAATTTAATTTTATATCAATTGTGTCTATCATTGCAGTTAGTTGAAGATTGTTACGGATCAATTGGACTGAATTTTATTCAGATTTATGTAAACACTCATGGTGAAGCTAGCACGTACGTTGAAACGGTAGAATTCATTAATCAAACAAATGATTCGTCAAGTTGCAGTAACAATTTTTGAAAATGGATTTTGATTCAAATATTTTTTTAATATTCATATAATTAGGAACATTTTCACACCTCCCGTACATTCAGTGCGATATGATCATGATCAAAGTTTTGATTTTTTTTAAACTGATATTATTCCCTCAAGACGACTCAGAAATATCCATGAATTAACTAACTCCAAGAACATCAGATGAGATAAGACAACGCTTATCAAAATGTTTAGGTGTATTATATTCCGTTAAAATAAATACAAAAATTCTTATTGCTTAGTTAATATGTTTTCCATATTAAGGGTTTTAATTTAATTTTGTTTTATTTTCTATTTACGGAGTTTTTTCGCACTACAACACTTTCTTATTCAAATTATATTATATGATTCATAACTCATGGGGTTGAAGAATTAATAAATATTTTTGCTATGAAATTTATTGGAATATTATTAGATTATCGAGATGTAGTATAGGTCATAAAATTCAGGCTGTCATAAAACATTGGTCTATTTCTAAACTTTTGAAGGTTTTCCCTTGTGAGAGGCTAGCACCCTTTCTAACATTTATTTCCCGCTAGACATCTGATCTGATGTTATATTCACGTTGAATAAAATGTTTCGTCATGGATTGAACGCTCATTAGCGTTGTTTCAATGTTACTTGCGTGGTAGAATCTGTCTAAAATTCATTCACCACTTCAACCTAGATGGAACTTATAGCAGAGTGATATGTTATTGAGATAATAGCTGTAATGTATTTACATTACAGCTATTATCTCAATAACATATCACTCTGCTATAAGTTCCATCTAGGGCAAGTGGTGAATGAATTTTAGACAGATTTTACCACGCAAGTAACATTGAAACAACGCTTAATGACGTTTTATTAGGAAGTTATTAACCTTTTAGCGACCAGCTACCTTGCGAGAGCAAAATACTGCAATGCATCCATACTTTATTTCGGAAATTTATTCATTAAAAAAACCTGACAGGCGACAAAAACCTCCAAATGTGCAGGAAATTAAAGCCAATCTATTTGTCCCATTGGACGAATGAGCTTCAAATGTAAACAATATGTACCTTTATGAAAGGCGACAGATATGTACGTTGTACAGCTAGACGCTATAGGGTTAATTATATCAACAAGGAAGTTTTAAACTTTGAAATTTCATTAATGGATGATCTTATTGCAGTTTAGTTATTGCCTGACACAAATGTTACTGATGAACCTTTATAGTACACATATATATAAATAAAATTTGAAGAAAGTGCCATCAATCGCGTAGGTAATCGACTGTCCATGCGACATATGCATGGGCGTCAAAGTTTAGTATGAGCCCATGGCGAAGCCCTGGCGATTCTTTAAGAGAGTTAGCTATTGTATTTCGGATATATCCGTTGAGTTTTCCTGATGGTCATTAGTGAACAAATTAGTTGTGCGAACGAACAAAAAATCGATGTTTTTCTGCTAGACCAGTCTTGTGCCACAGGGACCTTCAAGAATGACATTTTTAGTTTGGTTTGTGATTTTAGAATTTATTTCTTGATGGCGCAAAATGGGTATTAACAATACTCGAAGTAGCTTCTATGATTACATAAAGCTCACTGAAATGTAAAAGCTGGGACAAATAATCAGAAACACCAACTTGAATTCATTTATTTTTTGATTGAACACTCTTTTGATTGAACACTCTCAAATTAAAAAGTACCCGATTAATCTGGGGTATCATTCAAATTCAATGAACGTGTAAACATGTCAATGTAATAAATATTTAATTAATTAATGAATACATATTTAATACTTGACTATCCAAAAAGGTTTCTCGATCCAAATGACATCTCCTATATATGCGGATCATATCTGAAAAGGTGCTGATCAGCCATGCTGATTCTTGTCAGCGCTGGGTCACAACTTCATCTTCTGTTATGATTGACAACCCATGTCACACGATTTATTCATCAGTGTCAGTGTGCCGATAAGTGACGAAAAGTCACGCATTAACGCGAATAAATTTCCCAAAAACAACTTATTCCTTGATTGAGCGTAAAGGTAAGACGATTTGATACAGATTCACGTATGTCAATGTGATCAAAGCTGCATGGTTCCAAAGGCCAAAATGAGGTTCAAAAATAAAAATAAACTAAATTGAGACTTAAAAATATCCAGGCAAATTAACTATCGGCTCTAAAAATCGAATTGAACCGTAAATTTTTAAATTGTGAGATCTGTGTTCCATAGAAGCTGAGAAATACTACAGGCAGGCTACTTCATTTCTATTGCTTACAAAGATATATAACAATCTCAAGTCAATAACCTTCCTAAATCACATTTTAGTTTTATGTAGTCTACACGGTACTACACGCACAATATGAATGCATTTAATTAAAGAAAACAACGCGGCAAAAAAACAATTCCATCAAATTTGAAGTAAACAGTGATTTAGGTTAAATTTCTTCGCTAACAAATTTTTGATGCGCGCCCGACTCTGAAATACGTGCCGTCTAGAACTCGGGGAGCCTGAAATACGTGCTTTAACTTTAACTCTACCCCTAGAACGCCTATAACTCGGGGTAAATCAGCTTCTCTGTGACCGCAGCTCAGAGTTTGAAAGACAGCATCTGCTCAGCTGGCAAGCTCGGTAGGACTTTGCTCGGCCAGACTTTCTCATACTCTCAGGCGACTATAAAATCAGAAAATAGATTCTGACCAGAAACGAATTTTGATCGGTTGACCAAGTAGACCCTAAATAACTTTGCACCGATTGTAGCTATTATTCGGCTGAAGCCGAAGCGGTCTCCAAGTTTTGATAGGGCAGAAGTTTTGATCAATGGCAAGATGTGCAGAAAAGGTAAAATAAAGTAGAGAATTTTAAGTGTTTTATTCCAATAAAATAATTATATTCAATAAATTATGATGCATAATGAATTAATTTTTTTTTCAATGACGTCAATGAAGGTGCCAGGATTTCATGTATTTATCACAAATGCGATTATCACATCAGAAGAGAGCTGTCAGGCAGACTTCCTTGCTAGTTATCGGCTGTCACGATCTTTTATCCAGTGCTTATCAGTAACGGCTTCTATCAAATGTAAGTCTAACTGAGCTGCCTATCAGTTCACAGAGAATTACATGTCTATGTCACAGTTCACCAAGTACGAGGGGCATCCGGAAAGTAGCACCCGTTTGTAAATTGAACAAAAGGAAGTAAATATTAACAAATGTAAACATGTTTGTTGAAAAGAACATGTATTACACTAATTTTCTACATAAGCATTTGTCGTATCGTGTCACGAGTTTTTGTATACCAGTGTCATATTCCTCCGCCACCAGTGTATTGAGATATGCAGTCGCGCGATCTTTCAGTTCTTCCTCATTTTGAAACTTTGTCCCTGCCGCAAAGTCCTTGAGTTTCATAAACAGATGAAAATCTGAAGGACCCAAGTCCGGACTGTAAGGTCCGGTCGAAAATTTCTCACTTGAATTTTGGGAGAAGTTGTTGTGTTATCCGAGCCGTATGCGGCCTGGCATCATCGTGCAGGAGAATGACGCCAGTAGACAACAGACCTCGCCGTTGATTTTGAATTGCCCGCCGTATTTTTTTAATGTTGCACAATATGCATTGGCATTGACTGTATCTCCACGAGTCATGAAATCGATGAGCAGTACACCTTGCCGATCCCAGGAACACTGGCGGCGGAGGAATATGACACTGGTATGCAAAAACTCGCGACACGATACGACAAATGCTTAAATTTATCCGGAGATTATGTAGAGAAGTAGTATAATACATGTTCTTTTCAATAAATGTGTTTACATTTGTTAATATTTACTTTCTTTTGTTCAATTCCCAAACGGGTACTACTTTCCGGATTCCCCTCGTACGTTTAATTTCTATTGAAATAAGAAAGATAAAAGAAAGAAATGCTTGGAAATAATAACTGTGCCCTAGAGCTGAAAAGAATTGCAAAAATTATTTATAAGCAAAAAAGCAACAGTATAAATTTCGTATTTTATTTAAAATACGGAATTTTTATAGTATTTTTATATAATACTATATACATTATATAGTATTTTTTATTTTTTATTTGTAGTACCCAAGAAATTATCTCAACCTTTTTGTTTTAATTTTCCGTAACTTTCAGGATATTGTGAGTTACATAACATAAGAAAGTGAAACGAAAAACAATTGTAAGCAGTTATTGTTCGTTGGAACTATGATGTAGGAATTTCTAAGAAATGCTGGAATTACTAAATAACTTTGGAATTATTTTAATAAAATCGAAATTACCTCCAATAACTATAACTCCTCGACGATGTGGGAATTCTTCACGATGAGTCAATAAAAACGATGTGAAAATTAATGAAAAAATATATATAAAATTATAATGATTTGTGCGGTTTTTATGATGTTAGTTATCTATAGTTAAAAAGTTAGTAAAATGAAAATTAGATGCCGACTGACATTTTTCCCGCGGGAACAATTTTTGTTTGTTGTTGAATACCACAGCAGTACACAATGCTGAATACACGATGATTGGGGAATTTTTCGACAGATTTTCTCCACGTCGTAATAAATAACTTTAAAACCCATGTACCTTTATATAGATATGTGATAGTAAGTTAATTATAATTATATAAGTATATAAGTAAACTTATAATATGAGTAATAAATGATAGTTTATGTATGTATCAACCACCAGCAGTCAGGGCTGCTTGCTGGCGTAGGAGGCGAAGTAATGGAAGCGCATAGGCAGCATTGTGTCCTCGGCTGACGATGGCACCTCAAGGGCAGTCAGGAGTCTGCGCAGGGAGATAATGATGAGAATATTAGTTATATTACAATAACTGCCAATCTTAATTTTAATATATAATTAAAATATTAAATATGAATGGAGGGCTTGAAAAGGGGTTGGCATATCTTCAAGGCACAACAATTTCACGAAGCACCTAAAGAGTTTATTGTTATTGCTAGAATTATTCAGTAGTGATCCTAGACCTGCTAATGGTGATCATGATCAGCCTTCTGATGGTGATTGTGATAATCAAATCAATATAATTTTATCACCTGCGCAGTAGGTCGTTTTTGATGGTCTGCGCAGCTTCATCACCGTAATGGTGACGGTATCCAGTGTATCCACTCATGGTGGTGACATAGTCACCTAGTGATGCCAGTGACATCACCACGTCGGTGTGATGAGCTGACTCCCTATTGTAAAAGTGATGTGGAGTTGGTGAAAGTGTAGATCATTGAGATACACACTATCAAATGGAAAGCTTACTCAAAGATATTAGTGAAACGTTGTCCACTTTTTGCCCTTGGGTTCGTCATCCTGAACCACTTTTGTTGGTCCGGCAAAAGGGAGTATCAATGATACATACATAAAGTATATCACTATTCGGACAAAATAACCCATTTATCTTTCTGAGTTCATGAGACGAACAAGCGGAGGACTGGTTTCGAGGCGAAAAAATAAAGGCATATAATTGACGAATGATTTAATTACGAGTCTATGTACAGATCTTCAATTAAGTGATTAATACAACAAAAAAGTAAAGATAGAGTATATTGTATTTCACAAAAAATAACTATTATACCGGACGAATTTAATTGATTGTAAACTCACTAAAAAGAAGCAGAAACGAATGGTAAAATCCCTCTAGTTAAATGATCTTCTAATAATAGACAAAAAATATTTAATAAAATATATAAATACTTAAGCAATCCGGTCGAATCTTCCATTAACCGACGAAAAATATTTTAAAATATATATAAATATTCAAGCAATCCGGTCAAATTTAAGCAATTTCCCTGACCTGAGAATTTCGTGGGCTGAGGGCCAAGCGTATTTTGGTGTCCGGTACTCGAGATCGATTTCGTCTCGCGCTGTTCGTCCGAAATGCTGGCCGATTTTGTTCCAGTAGAACTGATACGATCAAAATAAATTAAAGTTTAATTTATTTTTACAAAATTAAAGTTTAATTTATTTGTTAAAGTTTAATATATTAAACTTAATTATTAAAGTTTAATTTATTAAAGTTTAATTTATTTATTTACAAAATTAAATGCTGGTCGATTTTGTTCCAGTAGAACTGATACGATCAAAATTAATTAAAGTTTAACCTTTTTAAACCGTTAGAAGTAGGATATAGCATTTTATTAAATAAGCTTAAAAAGGTAATGAAGAAAAAAGCTTGAAATTTTAGAGTAAACAGATGGAAAATGAATTAAGAATTAACACGTTCCCCGCGTATCCAGATTTACCCAGTATTCCCTTATTGCGGAAGGCTTTCAGTGGTTGCTGCTTCAGTTAGGTGCCATTGGCCGTGACAAGAGGAGGTGTGTGCAGCTCTATGGCATCATAGCTTTGCATAGCTGCAATAAAAATGTTGGGACACATGTGGTACATTACGCGAGCAAATAATAACCACATGTTGTTCTTGCGTATTGTACCACCGGTGTACCAAGAATTTATTGAGCTATATATGTACCGTAATAGAATAGAAGGGTACAGAAGGGAATAGAAGGAAATATAAGGGAATAGAAGGGAACAGAAAAGAATAGAAGGGAATAGAAGGAAATAGAAAGGAACAGAAGGGAATAGAAGGAAACAGAAGGGAATAGAAGGGAATAGCAGGGAATAGAAGGGAATAGAAGGGAAAAGAAGGGAATAGCAGGGAATAGAAGGGAATAGAAGGGAATAAAAAGGAATAGAAGGGAGTAGATGGGAACATATGGGAATAGATGAGAATAGAAGGGAATAGAAGGGAATAGAAGGTCATAAACGGGAATAAAAGGAAATAAAAGGGAATAAAAGGGAATAAAAGGGAATAAAAGGGAATAGATGGGAATAGATGGGAATAGATGGGAATAGATGGGAATAGAAGGGAATAAAAGGTAATAAAAGGGAATAGAAGGGAATATTAGGGAATAGATGGGAACAGAAGGGAACAGAATGGAATAGAAGAGAACAGAAGGGAATAGAAGGGAATTATTAGTTAGAATTTTTACAGTTTCTTATCGTTTGTTTAAGGAGATTTACCAATAAAATTTTGGTCCATTGATTTGTTTCACTTAATAATCCACTTTTTGAGTGATCATTAATATAATAAAAGAGAAAGTTTAAGTGCGAAATTTCGAGTTACATGTGTTTTTTCAAAACGGCGTATAATACTGCGTTTGGTACACTGGTGTCCCAATACGCAGCAGTGGAATATCACTGTTGGTACACATATGGCCCAATACGCGGGGAACGTGTTAATACATGAACCCGAAATTTTTTATAAAGATGAAAGTTGAAAGCAATATATTATAAAGTTTGACAAATCGAAACTTGCAGTCTCAAAGCAATACCCGACATAGCGTGACATCAGTTATGAAAGTTGATCTTAAAATTTATATCAAGCCATTTTTAGGCTTGAATTATAATTTATGATTTTTCAATCACAATTTTACCCCATTTTTATGCATGGAATATTTAATTATTATACGTCACAAGTAGAAGGTAGAACTGCAATACGCACCGCAATTTCCGCAGTATCACCCCTAATAAAACTAACTCGACACAAGTACTGCATTTATTGAGAGCCGACGTCATGAAATTCAATTCGGAACAAACACTTATATTTAATTGAATTGTAAATGCATAAAAATGGAAAGTATTTATTTGTATATATTTATGCAAACTGCACCAACGACGTAAAAAAATATGGTCGTGAACTATGGCTGGTTTTGTTGCAGGTGGTCAAGTGGATAACATCAGAGTACGCACTAGGATTGGAGCGGCGAATGGTGTGTTAGAAACCCCAGCAAGCTGTATAAACTTTCTGATTTCAAGAATCTTCGACATGCGAGATTTGGCCTATTCAACGCTGAAACCGCTATTAGCATTAGTATTATTGTTGTGATAATATAATATATTATATTATATTATATTATATTATATTATATTATATTATATTATATTATATTATATAAGCGCAGTCAACCGATGATCTCCCAGCTCGTCAAGACAATTCTCGCTTCAGCCTCCAAAAAGCGTTTAAAATTATTCCGTTTAAAATTATCAGGCACCAAATTTTTCAGAATCCTCATGAACATAAGCATTTTCTAACTTAATATTTACAAACAGCAATAAATCCGAAAATGTCCCTGCCATCTTTATTTACGACGAACTTTATGAGACGTTAAAAGTTCTTTCATGTTCAAACTATATATATTACACAAAAAATTAAAACTTGTAATCGCAACACATGACTGCTCAGTATAAAATGAAAAAAAAAGAATCAGAGTTGGGAGAATAAAAAGGAAAAAGAATTTACTCACATCATACATAATGTCTTTCAGAACCTGGGTCTTGCCAGGCCATTGGGGTTGTGGGATGTGATAGCCAATCAGTGCGAGCACCCCGCCTGATAAGGAATGTGTATTAGTCAAGCGAGTGAAAAAATTGATCATATTAATTCATAGTGAGCCATCAGTGTTAACTTACACAATGACCTTTCCTGTATTGGAATTCCAACATTGCATATAGTGAGGCTCAACAATTGTTGAAGACTGATATCCCATCACGAAACGATCGGTCCGAGTCAAGACTAAAACGGCCAAAACCAACAGCCTTATTATCTGAAAGCTGCTGAAACCCCTCTTTTCTTATTGCAATCGCTCACATACGCTTTGTGAGAAGTAAAGATTACTGTTATTTGCGCTTGAGCGGTAAGGACAAAGCCTTTGCATTAGTTTACTTTATACCTTAATTAGGCAATACGGTTCTCTGCTAGCCGTCATCGTTTATTCCATTCAACCAAAGGTACCTAAATTTTTCACTTCTTGGAGCCTCAAAGGCTCTTGATTCAGCCCAGATTTTAAAGTGGACCCTGTGGATTTTTGAACATGCCGTAAAGTTAGCCCTGACTTTAACCTAATTTGATCAAACACTAAGTCTATTTGCAAGCAGAATCGTATCATCAGTATATTTGATACGATTGTGCTATTACGATTTGATACGACTGATGCGATTCAGAATAATATTAATACATACCTTTGACGAGAACCCTGTCAACTTGAGTGAAGAACTTTGGCATGTCGAACCAATGAGCAGCCATACAAGAGGTCACTAGCGCAACAGACTCATCCTCCACAGGGTACGGATCCTCGCCTTTTAGGAGGCTGTACAAATTAAAAAAATTTTGTACTAGCAAATGACAATGTTGCACTGTAAAGTGGCAAGTCACTGTATAAAGACCTATACTATTTCATTATCCTTATCAAAGACGATGTCACGTCACGAAGATTTACACAAATATGCCGAAGCCAATATCACACTGGAGCCCTCTAAGACCTTTAGATCCCCCCAAGGTAATAAGTACTCCGAGTTCGTTTAGGGACACACACCCAATGCCATGCTGCAAGCACCAGCTAGACATCCTTCAAAGTGTCCTGTAAATACCCCAATATTTCCTAGATAAGCCCTAATATATCTTAGACATCACCTAATATCTTTTGCGCGTTCCACAATATCGTTTACAAGTTCTCAGTATCACTTAGACATCATTCAATGTATCGTAGATGCATCTATCAACATCTTCCAGACATTCTTAATACATATTAATGTCCCTAAAATCTCATAGAAATTGTTCAATATATATTACACGTTTCTTAATTCTACCTAATCAATAAACATCACAGATGTCTCTAAGACTTTATCTAACTTCTAAATATTTTCCAATATCTATAAAGAAAAGTCCAAATATCTTTTAGGCATCCCCAAAATCATTTAGATGCCACTGTTGTCTTCCATAGATGTCCCCCAATACCTCCTAGATTCCACCAATACCTCCTAGATATCCCCAAATATCTTGACAAGTAGCCCCAGTATCCTCTAGATCTCACCAATATCTCCTAATTATCCCCAAATATCTTGAAAAATAGCCCCAGTATATATCCTTTAGAGTATAGACCCTTCTAATAACTCCTAGATACCCCCAAATATCTTCAGGAATATCCTCAATTATGTCCCTCATCATCCTCACTATCCTCACGCACCAGTAGGATACATTGGCAGGATTCGGCACGGACTGGGCGATGTCGAGCTGGGCCTGCGAGACGTCCAGACCCAGGACGGTCCTGAAGTTGGGGGCCAGGGCCCGTGTTATCTGGCCTGACCCGCAGCCCACGTCCACTGCCTGATCAAGTCCACCGTGAGTCTGTAACGGTTTTAATGAACGCAAAACACACATACACAATTATTTTTGATTATTGAAACGCAATTTCGTAAAAAAAACTAGTAAAAGCCACTGAAAATGCTCTGCTATATCTTTATAACTTAACTAGTAAATGCCATTAAACACACATCTAAAATGATTTGCTATAACACAAGGCCTATAACTCGTCAAAATTCCGAGTCAGGAATCAACCACTTAAAACTGTGAAATCCCGTCATTTACGATCTTCAAACTAACTTTTTGAGAACGTGCCAAGAGAAAGAAAAATTCTTGGAATTCAGAAAGAGAAAGAAGCTTGGAAACAAGCTCATATGAGTATAAAAAATATAAACAGAGCGTAAAAAAATCTACAGAATTATAACTGTGACTGAGATCAAAGAAAGACTTAAAGTTATTACATATATTCAAAAAATAAATCTAAATTTGAGCTTAATTAGAAAATGGAACTCAAAATCAGTTACATTTTATTTATGCAGTAATGTGGTATTTTCTAGTCCTTTTACAATCAATCGTGTCGCGTGTTAATGTATCACAAGCGAATAAATGCTATTTACCCTGCAATATTTGCCGCTCAAAAATGAGTAAGATCTTGGTCTTGGTTGCAAGTCCACCTTTTCCGTATTCGGATACTGATACTAGCTATCTTTGGTTACACATAATTCATCATCAATTTTATTTTGCATGCATACAGTGATGAATATTCTGCCAAGTCGTTATTTCATTAATATACATTTAGCCCTTGACATCATTGCACTAGTTTGCCGCTTCAGTTTGATTGCCAATATTCACACTGTATTTTTATCACTCAAATTCAACAACAAGCTTGTTTACCGCCGTTTCGAATGGAAAATTTTCTTTCAAAATTCACCCATACATACTGCCTCGTCGTCTGTAGTTGACAATTACTAAACGCTCATAATTATAATCTATTAAACACGTTGCGATTTTATTAGTTACCGATAAATTTTCATGCGTTTTCTTAAGTTTTCGATAATTATATTGCATTTTTGTTGGCTAACAATTAATATATAGCATTTTCAACAATTATTGATTAATATCTTACATTTTCATCAGTCGCAAACTATTATCATGCGATTCCACTAATCACTAATTGATTACCTTGTGTTTGACGTAGTTGACGAGGTTGAGAATGAGGGAGGGGGGAGGCGAGGGTCGTTGGCGGAGGTATGATGCTGCCAGCGACGTTCCTTCGAAAAAACGTTGTGTCATAACAACGGAAACAACATGCGAGTGATTATCCAAAATAATAATTTAAATTACACGAAATAGTCAATTCGAACCTGGAAAAACCTGGAAGTAAAATAATGCGGCTACCAGGAAGTGATCATCGGTGCGCTAAACTCAGTTTAGGCTAAAGTACCTAGCTCGTAGGCCAATCAGTGCAAATTCGATGGGATATAGATGTGCAATCCTAGGCGAGTTGTGAATTCCACAACAGAGAACTAACTAACTTAACTTTTACACACAAATGAGTAGTTCCTGTCTTCACTTTTGTCTAATTAGTCTATACAAGCGAGCAATTTTCGTCGCTGCCGTTAATTAAATCCGAAAAGGGATTGGATTCACTTCACGTGCATTCATCATTCTATGCCTATATCGGAAAATTACACTCGGTACAAATTTCTAATTTCACGCATCCTTTTCACACAAAATTCCGACAAACGATAGAGATTGGTTCATTGATTTTCAATTTTCTGCTATACTTTTGCAAGTTCGGGTTGTTGGCAATAGCACAGCAGACAATGTCGCTCACCTACAACCTGCCGGCATCGACTGCCGAGATAACAAAGCATCCTAATTTACAAATATCACCAAAAAAAAACACAGCCAAAACGTTTAGTCAGCATCTTGCTATGGAAATTTTTGTCGGCAGGTCTAGGTTTTGAATAAAAAAAAACGAGTTCTGTTTTTACTTTGCGTTGAAAATATTGTGCTTCGACCAAGAATGCAGCTAGTCTTGGAATGCGGTTTTCCGATTACATCATCTGCACTGGTCTTCACCAGCATGTACAGTTGGATACTAAGCCAGAGCCCAGGGCAGCATATACACTGATTTACAGCAACAGGTACACTGATCGACAGCAGCAGCTATACCGATTCCAATGCTAAATATTGCTGCCTGCAGTTGGAAGTGGTATTATTAATTTGAAGAAAATATTAGGATAAAATATCAATAAAGGCGAGACGGTTTTATTTGATACATACCAAGTCTAGCTGATACATGACAAGTTTATTATTTATTCAATGATGAATGAATCACAATAGCAAAGTAGCCACTGCAAGAGGTTGCTTGCCTCCCACAAAAGAAATAATAAATGCATTAACCCGTCCAACTGCACCCACCCTAACAGCAAGCAGGGGCAGCAGACGCTAGTTTAGTGGGATTCAACGATCATTTTACGCCATGAAAATATGAGTTGTTCTTGATGGTAATCAACAATGTGAAATCTTCTGGTCGTGAATTTAAAATTCCGGTATCCAAGAGGAGATACATTCACAATCAATTTGAAAATAAGACATTTTTCATTTGCGCCCTGTTTACTTGCAGATATTGGAGAACATAAGACGCCTGATTGCATGGACATGCAGGAGAACATAAGACACGATTTAATTGCAGTTTAAGAATCAGACATAACGTCATCTCGTATACCAAAATCAAAGTACAACAATAATATTCAAGGTAAAGTGATCGACAGATAAGAACATCTAAGAGAAAGATTAAAAGAGATCATATAAATCACAGACAGGCTTGGTAAAATAACATCAATAAAAAAGTTTCTAATACGCAAGCAGCGTTGAGATGCTATTCATGAACTTGCAAATTTGGTCAAAGCAAAGTAATTAAAGTAGAAAATCACAATGAAAGAAAAAAAACAAAGTCGTCTCGTGTGTTATTTCTAATCGTGTCCGTTTGTGAATACTTTTCATGAAAATTCACCCTTTAGAACCAGTAAAACTCGCGCGAAATATTCGACTAAAGTACAAATTTTAAATAATAATGGATCTACTGGAGCTTTAAGGATCTAAAACACGCAGTAAGATTTTTTAGTACCATACCGCTCCAAAAAATGCCTAAGTGATGATTTTAATAATCAGAAATACCATCATGAGATACGTTAAGATGGAGCTAGTGTTGTTATCGTCACAGTGCGATTATTAAAATATCAAATTATGCTAGCGCATGAAGCCAACTATGCTATGAACGTCTCTACGATGAAGTCAGGAAGTCAGCGGGAGCTGACAGTCCCGCTGGCAGTCAGCATGAGCTGACAGAGCCAGCGTCCAGGGAGATGTGACCGGCGTCAACTTCTCCGTCAGCCACACATGCCACGCACGGCACCACCTCCCGGCAGGCACACGGCAAGTCTGAGAGCATGTATATTCAGTAAGAAAATAAATAAATATTCTATTTAAACCGAGAGTGAATCACCAACATAATTTATTCTTGCAATCGTGTCTAAGACGGTCATGAACATAACTAAAACATTCCCGGTCTCATTAGTTATTCGTAAGAAAGTTTGATGAAACATGGCTTGTCTAACCTCTTAGCCAGTGAAATCGTCCGATTTCCTTACTGCACTTGGGACACTTGAGGTTGCCCGCCATCTTGGATGTGTAGGCGCTAGAGAGCATCCACGGCTGAGCTGTCATGTAGAAGCTTCTTTCACACACCTTAGGAATGTCAAGGAGATGAAAAAATATGAGCGCAATGAATTTCACATCATTGTTTCTGCTCATTTTCTCTTGGTCATTCTCAAAAAGATCTAAAATACACTTTCAGGCGATGAGGAAGTTGTAGATTTGACTCTTTATGAGTTAACGGCCTACAAAAATTCTTTCATCAGCATTATACCTGATGAATAAGCGGCGTACTTATGACGGAACAATGCAAAATGCAGATTAAACCGAGGTCTGGTTCAAGAATAAGAGTGAAATTCGGATCGCTTGTTCTTGCTACTTTCCACTGAAGGAAGAAACTAGCCCGATCAGGCAATATTAACCGCTAATACTATCGGCTAAAACTTTTCTGGGTACAAGCACCTTAACACGTTGACTACGAAGTGGTACATATGCGTACCACGAAATGTATTTCTCCAGGACGTAGTAGTACCCATTTCAGGTTGCCTAAAATCGGCCAAATCCGAAAACAAAAAAGGCCGATAACTCAATATATACTAGTTTGTTTGTAGGTTTCGCTATAAAAATTCCATTTATTTTCTTTTTGCAGTATTTAAAATTTAATTAGGAAGTACCCCTATCATAAATTTTAGCCGGCCAACGCAATTGAGAAAAACTAAATCACGGAATTTGTCCGGAAAAAATGACCGCCTGGCAACCCTGTTTAAAAACAGTACAAAAATTGAAATAATAGTACAAGATGAAGCAATCGTAGTCAACGTGTTAAGTACAAACCTTGTTACTGTGGCCATTTTCCAGAGCAGGCCAGCAGCCGTGGCAATGTTGAACGTTGCAAGCTCTGCTGCACAACACAGCTCTGCTCACGCAATCACAAATGACGAATAAATTTTAGCCAAATGTTCATCGAGTGACTTGATAAATTAAAAAAGCATTTACGGACAAAAACTCTCCATTACAAGTTAACTAGACAAATAGATTCGAGAAACATTTAGAGCTTTGATAGATTTTTTGAGTTCAGCCTAAGATGCATTTCATGATGATAATTCACACCAAAGGAAGCTATCAATGTTGGTTAAAAGGGCCGTATTATCTGACATTTTGTGATGAAAACAAAATGACTACAAGAATTTACAATGCAAATTAGAGCTCACGATATTTTTGATCTGGTTTATCAGCTATTAAGGATTTAAGATGCTTTCAAGATTACTTCAAACCCACTAAATAAGATGACAATACAATAAAAAACCTCTAAAAAAAAGAACAAAAACTTATTAAAATAACTTTGTATATTATAACTGTGTACTATTTATACGAAGCAATACCTACATGACCTGCAGGACAGGCCAGGATTTCTGTTGACATGCGAGTCATCCTGGAAGAGTTCCAGATAACTTGTAAGAAACTCCTTCAGCCGATGAGGTTCTGAAAATGTTATCAAAGATTATATTTTTGTAAAAAGTTCTCCTATATGGAAAAGATAGGATGTTCAGACCAAACATTCAAAATCATATATTGAATTATTTTATATACACCGTTTCGGCACAGAAGCAGCAGAATTAGATGCATAAAAAGGGTAAATTCATATAAATTCGAAGTACTTGCACATAAAGTAAATAGGATTTATTAATAACTCGTAATATGCTGATGGATATCAACAATGCAACAAATGAAATTCACAAAAATTAAAAGAATGAAAATACAATAAATTGTCCATAAAATTTTAGTATGGAACATATTGGGTTCTGATCAAATTATTCCAACATGGTCGCAGTTTGACAGACAACTCCAAATATCATCAATTTAATGCCACTTTAAATCATATTAGTGAGCAATAAGCCAGGAGTACAAAGAATTGTTTTATTTCTAATCGAATTACAGTGGATACCAACATCAAGCTTCAGCATGATAGATGCAGATAAGCAGTACCTAATGATTTACATTCATTGATTTAATCAATGAACATTTAATTCCCCAAGAGTCAATAACAACTTAGAACTTAATTACTGTCCTAAATTACATGTCATTCACCAGTTCTGATTCTGGTGCAGAGCATCTTGTGCTTGTAAAGTCTGAACAGAGGGGAAAGTTTGCTGTGAGCATCAAGCTTCCACTGCAGGGCGTGGAACAGATCAAGTTGATGCAGAAAACCTACATTGGGACCCACACATCTTCGTCTGCTGCGAATCCTGTAGAAATAATCCAGTGACAAAATGCATATTGCAAACATATTTCACACAGTACAACTTAAATTAAATACTTTGGGACCTTGTAATATTGATTAATGCTCCATTGTAATACGATCAAATGTAACTAACTCCTTCTGCTTTAGCTGAAAATGTTTTTTAACTTAATATTTATCTTAGTTCATCTTATCTTAATTTATCAAATGATCTTAGCCTCTTAATCACACTAGGATGGGTCCAAATGTTCAAGCAATTATTCAACTGATGGAATAAAATTGAGAACCTGTCAAGGGCCTGATGCCAGTTCAGCTTGTGCTTCCTCATCAAATGAGCTGCCACCAGCGTGGCACTCCGAGATACTCCAAAGTAACTGGAAAAAAATTTACCAATTCAAGAGTGGAAAATATTTCTAATTTCTAAAATATTTCAAAATTACAATATAATGATGAACAAGCAGAATGAAGGTAAAAATATCAATATAGGAGTAAATCCTAAAATATTTCAAAATTACAATTCTAATTCCTAAAATATTTCAAAATTACAATATAATGATAAACAAGCAGAATGAAGGTAAAAATATCGATATAGGAGTACTACTGCAACACTAAATTAAATCTATTTTATGAGTATGAATTATATTTTTTATTTGTGAGAAGAGAATAACAGAAAATCCACAATTTATTTTAATTTTTTAATTTTTCTATGCAAATAATTTTTTTCCAAGTGCAACAATGTTGTTTAGCCTCCATGATTAAAAATAAATATTTTAAAAATAATTATAAAAGTTAATAAGCAGAAAAGCTATTTTTCTTCAATATTTCAAAACGGTACCTAGTACTCTTAGTCCCCAATTAAAAGCACAAAGAGTTAACATTTTTCCCTTTACCAGTGAACCAAGACAGCTCCCATGGCTTGACCCTCAGCAATAAAATTACAGGAAGATTCAAAGTGGGAGAGCAGGTCAGAGCCAGGAATGTCATCAACTGCACAGAAAAGAGTAATGAAACAAAGATCAGAATAGCATAGGTAGTCATGCCAATAAAGCTGCTCACAATATACCTATAACTGTAATGCATTGGGATCTTTTTCTATTGAAAAAATATCATCATTTATATCAGAAATTTATAAAATTTGGGAGGGAAAGTATCAAGACACTCAAAATTAGTTATCAACTGAAGTTCAAAATTTGCCTTTAAGTGGCAGTTTATTTGCCTTGGCTTTGATGTTGGCAGGCATCAAATTCAGAAATTTTGTACTTCTGGCATTCATAGAATCCAAGCTGAATATTACCAAGGACTACCAAAGCAAAAATTTAGCAGTTAGAAAGCCTATGTAATGAAATTGAACCATTTCTTACATGAAAACTTATGCAAAGCACACACTAATTTAAAAGAAAATAACCTTGTATATAGTGGAAAATGATGTATGGCATCTTCTGAGTTAGCGAGAGTGGCAGGGACTCGGACGCCACTGTCAGCACATGCGTAATATGGAGCTTGCTGAGGGTTGCAGGGCTTGCAGCAGTGCTCAAATTACCTGAAATTTCAAATCTTAAATTTAATTTCAACAAAATAAGTTTTAATTGATGTTCATTCAGTATCAATCTTAAATTGAATTTCAACAAAATAAGTTTCAATTGATGCTCATTCAGTGTCATTTCATCATCTGAGCAACTTTTTTGGACAGTTTCCTAGTGAATGACTAAAAAAACTTAGCATATATATATATATATATATAATTTGAACAAGTTCATAACAACTGCATTACAATGAGAGAAGAGGAAATTGCAAAAACTAAGCACATCTTATCAAACTAGCCTAGAGGGCCTAATGCCCACCAGGCTAACTAGTGTGGCCCTGAAAACATTGAGCAATCTCATCAATTATATATTCTTTACTGCCACTTTTCCTGGAGAGACTGGAAAAGGGACAAGATTTTTGTAATCTTGAAGCTGATAGTAATAATTGACATTAAAACCAAAAAATTCTGAAAATTTGCTCATTCCTTAACCTCAATCAACCCCCATCCAACTTGAATATATTCCACAGCTGCAGTGAGAACTTTACTGACCACCCCAATTTAATGGATTGAAGTTAGCTGAATAAAGCATTTATTTATCTAAATTAGGCAATATTTGCAAGCCTCTTTGAAAATAAAATTTTTCAGTATTTGAGCATCTATTTAAGAATGAACTTGCTTATTAAAAACAAAATAACAACCTAAATACATCAAAAATCAACTTGAGATACTAAATAACAGTCCATGAATAATAATTTTGAATAAAAACAATTTAAATAATAAATTCATTATTATTATTATTAGAAATTGTTTTCACAGATGATATCTCCTCAATATGCAGAACAAAATTGGAGGGAATTTTTGCATCCATCCATTATTACATCCAGGTTTTGTAATTGCTGCAAATGGTAATGGCTTGTAACAAAATTGGAAAATATTTGAGCATGTTTGGACAGATATTAGACATTTTAGTTATGAACTATTTTATGAACTATTTTCATAAGAAATAATTATAGAATTAATATTTTCAATAACTCACACACACAGCTCACAAGGCAGCAAGGGCCTAGGGTGCTCTTTGCTCTCATGAGGTGTTTTTTTTCTAAAATTGTTCTTGAAATACATGTTGAAAAATGTACCTAGTAATGTAACTAAAGCAACTTAGAGAAAATTCATACAAATTAGGATGATTTGAGATTGGATGAAAATCTAATTAATTTTGCAACTCTGTTGCAAAACTTTAATTAAATAATTAATTAGATTAATTGTGTTGCCACTGGCATAAATATCTGTAATTAATACCAACTTTCTAGAGAAATTGAATAATATGATTGATTAGAATTCTGATTTGCTGCCAAACATTCTGCACAGTGTACAAACTGCACCTGCATGACAGCTTGAATAGAGGTCAGGCTTAGCAGTAAGCAGTTAGCAGCTAAGAAAATTTTTCCTCACCTAGATAAAGACCTTCTTCAATCAAATCATAGTTTATGGAGTCTGGAAGATCTGAAGAATCCATCTGAAGATAACTTTCTAATATACTTTATTACATAAAAATTACTGAATTGCAACAGTGCAACTGCTGCCAGATGCAAAGCAGGTTTTGAAATATCTAAGAACTTAAGAGAGAAATTCTATCACATTAGATTATCAAAAGATGATGACAAAATTGAATACAAATAATCATCAACAATTATTCACATTTGCCAATTTGGAGTCATAGACACCACTAACTACTTTAATATAATAACTTTATTGATACCTGAATTAATAAATAAATTAATTTGATCAATTACATTCTTAATTTTCTTTATCAAGCTTATGATGTCAAATTTCAATAGGCTACAATACAGAGATCACCATATTTATGGCAACACATTTTTTCTAATTCTCAATGAAATAAACAGGTGAATTACTTTTTAATTGGATGAGCTAATAGCCAAGAACTATCTAAACAATTCTGATGGGGGACAGAGTCATGTTAAAAATTCCATGGTGATCCATTAAAACTTGAAAATGTTTATGGCCTCAGGGCCCAAGGTAACAAGCCAATTTCCAAAATGTCCAAAATGTATTACTAACTTCAATTTCACTCCTGAGGAGTGAGGGGTCAAAAACGGGTGAAGAATTCCCAGTGTTTAGCTCATGCTGTCAAACCATCATGCAGTGGCATGCTCATGGACATAGGCTGCATTTGCATTATAGGCATGGTAGCACTAGCAGCTAGCAGGTGGAATTCTAGGTGATTGTTGGTCATTTAGTTCCACCAGGTTGGCCAGAGTGCTCCAGCGCTGCTCACTTGAGAAGTTGAGGTTAAGTAGCAACAAGGGGAGCGGGTCAGCGGGATGGCCGCTTGAATTAGATTGCATGGCCGTCTCAATCCAGTTGGAGCAAGCGGCTCCTATATTTGGCCAACCCACTCCTCAATTACACAGCCAACACAGGTGACAGGTGAATGGTCATTTAGAACTTTAGAAGGCACTTACTATCTAGAATAAAAAATTTAGAAGGCATTTATTCAAAAACCTATCATTCATATAAAGTCTTGTACACGACTAGCCTACCTCACCTGCTTGAAAGAAATGAAAGTCATGTACACAACTACCTCATCAGCTCAAAAATCATGTACACAACAACTTCTAGGTAGTTCACCTGCTCTGGCTGCTTGACCTAATCTGAGGCTAATCATATGTCACATAAGAATGATAGGATTTTGACATACTAGTACTAGTACTACTAGTCTACTATTACTCATCATGATTACTGTTCTAGCCTACTCCACTAACTGACTCCAGACTCTAGTTATCACTGTTCTGTACGCATACTGGACCACAAACTCTGTCATTTTGACAGTTAATTGTTAATGCTTTCTGCAACACTGCAAGGTCAAATTTCTTCCTGTCACTGTCCTGAACATAGCTACATAGGTAAGAACATAGAAGTTGAACACCAAATTGGGCAGCATGCATTTGAAAATAATTTTCAATGAGATTCAGAATTTGCTGGCATCTTTTGAGTCTTATTCGTGGCCATTGTCAAAATTATCAGGGTTGCCGCTTGCCGGTGCGGCAGTGCCCAGTAGGACCATGGGGACTGGGGCACGGTGGGGCCCGTGGGGCCGTGACGGTGGGGACAGTTATTCTTATGTTGCAGTTGAAAGGATACATTCAAGAATTTATTGAGTAGTTCTTGGCATTGGCTATTAGGTAGCTCATCCAATAAAGAATTAATTCACCTGTTGTTTCAGAAGTGGACACTTCGTCCAAACTAGCCCAACCTCCAGTAGATATATCCCACTATAGCTCTAACAGACCCATTTAAGGGGAGCTTATTCTTCTTTTCTGGATGTCCACGCTGGGTGGACTTAAAGCCACAGGACAACCACAAGGATGACCGTAGGGCCTGAGAGCTTCTGCAGTAAGGGGAGCGTCTAGTGTCTAAAATGATGCAACCCATGCACATGTAACGTAAGTAACCATACGCAGCAGCGTAGCCGACTTCTGCCGGTTGCGCCTATTTAATTTGCATACAAATAGTTCTTTGATGGGAGCAGCATGATACAATTTGATCATGGGTATAGCCATGACTGCTCATGTGGTCAGTCTCCTTTCATTTACAGCCTAACAGATAGCAACCTGTTCACGTATGTTCAGTTCTTTGCTAAATATTCCTGTTCAAGTGCTTTTGATTATCTTTAGTGAAGATCTCCATTCATATTGTTAGGGCTTAGGGGCCACATGCTGGTATATAAACTATTTAGTAATTGTTATAAGTGTCTTGTATTAATCCTCTCTTTCTATTGTCCCACTCCCAGTGTGTGATTACTTGAGCGACAGCCAGATAAATTCAGATTAGTGTAAAATCACATTCATTGACAGTCTGACTAGTTGAGGGAAGCAGTGCAATACTGATCTGCTCCTATTTTGTGCTGATTAACCTGCTATAAACAAACCTGCTTCCTGGTCATTTACTGCCATGCTGACTCATCACTGACCTGATATGAATATCATGGCTCTTAATTTAAATAGGTGAGTAAAGGGAATACTCTCGCCACGCATCTCAGTCCTAAATTTTAATTATTGAATGTTATCAGTAAATGTTTGTACATATAATCAATCATCCCTTAAAGTTGTTTTACAGTTTTGCATTAGGTAGATCAATTTGTTTTTATGTGTTCGGCAGCATATGCTTAATTTGCGTTCAGAAATTGTATGTTTACCTTAGAAAAAAATATGTTCTCGATTGCCACTATGTTTGTAAGTATAACACACCTTCTTGAATTGTCACTGATGACTGATGAGCATTGAGCAATGAGCATCAGCCAGGCTGTAGAGTAGGGCCTTTTAGCTCGAGATATCGGCGTCTTTTCAAGCTCTCCATCAGCCACATCGACCTTAAATTGGCGTCCATGGCCGATCATAAACTATGGCTCAGGCAGCCATGACCGACCATAAACTATAGATTGCATGATCAGCCCCGCTGTCACCGCGCCCATCTTCAGCTTGTTTGATTGCTTGTATCTGTCACCCGATCACAATGTGCATACGTCTGGCAAGCCCAATGCTACTGCTGAAAAAACTTGTCAATCTATTGTGTTCTAACGTGATCTATTGTGTTCTAACATGATCTATTGTGTTCTAACAT